CATACATTTTGTGATAAAAATTTAGCGAAAATCGCATTTTATTGTTCACTGCATTCTTACCTTTTTAAACTATTTTTAACCGTTCCTAATATATTGATGCAATTTTTTAAAATTTTACTCACACTTGATATTGACCTCGGAGAGGTCGAAACGTCGTGACTTTTTATCGCAAATTTTTATCACAAAACAAAGTTCAGACCCCCTCCCCTGCCGTCCCCTCTCTTCCCCCTAATAAATGACTGGTGCGTCAAAGTCCTGGTCACAGTGAAAACCCTATCCCAAGTCCTGAAGGAGACAACGCCGTTACGGATTCATTTTGCAAACGACTTACGTAGTTGATTATCGTAAACGGAGATGGAAAACTCGGCTTACAGAGATGGACTGTATTTTATGTTTCATTGTAAGAGTGTAGAACTAAATTGGAACCGAAAGTAGTGAATATTTTCCCTTCTATTTCTTACGCTCTTTCATAAGTTTCAGAATAGAACTCTTTTTTTAACGCAAGAGCAACTGATTTTTTCCTCGGCGGAATGAATGGAAACGATTTACCCAGGCATCAGGTAGCGATGTCAGTTATTAGACTTACTGGTGGCCAAATTCACAAGGACGCATTTCAAAGTCACCGACGTTTCACATAAGGGGGACAATGGCACATAAATGTAAGATTGTGTCCAATTACGAACTTACATTTTTTTTGTAAAAGGTCCCTTGTATTTCAGATTAGTCAAGCTTTGGGTTGTTCCAGTTTCAGCCCTTTAAACTGAACTGATTTAACTTTCTGTAAATGCAACTATTTTTAATTCATGACCTGCTCAATTGAAATGTCTCAGCAAGTTTGGTATAAAGGTAAATTCTTATGAACTTCTCTTATTTTTCATCAAAACGGATGGTCTTGCTAGAGTTTGCTCAGTTCTGATAAATTAGCTATTTATTCAACATTAGACATGCAACTAACCTGGGATGAAGTTGATTATCCAAGCTGCTCAAAGTACAAAATTTTCAGTAGACGAGATCAGAGATATAAAAAAGCAGGTGTTGTATGCAGAAATGCTATCGTTGACTTTCAAACAGAAAAAGTCTATGATTTGACAGGAAGCTTTGTCATTGGCTACCGACGAATTCACAAACATTGACAATTTAACTTTGTTGTTTCCATAACCACAATAAACTTTAAGATAAGCACGATAAGAAAGTCTTGGTCAGTTCTTCGTTTTATATATGTATCCATAAAAGCGAAATACTCGGCACCCTTCTCATATTATCATTTCTTCTTTCGGGACCAAGGGTTTTGTACTGGGGGAAGGTTATCCAAGCAAAACAGTTTCCCTGCCTAGCACTCGCATATTTCACCTTAGTGTAATTAACGCCAAGTGTTTACAAGACTGATAAGGTTACCCTGGCACCAGGGCAGAACCTGTGAAGTGAAAAGATTTCATTTTGTTTAGACTTACATGTAGTAATGATGAAAAGCTATAAATAAAACCTAATTGCACAGCTCCAATATTTATGTACATATACATAACATTAAAAAATCAACTAGTATAGGTAATAGCATGATTTGTGGTGATATTTGGCATAAATACCACGAGCGATATTTCAAAATTGTTGTACGTAATTTCACGAGTCGTTAGGCGAGTGAAATTTGAGACAATTTTGAAATATCACGAGTAGTATTTATGCCAAATATCACGTACAAATCATGCTATTAATTGTTTATACTACTACTACCCTTAGAAGGTTTGTAATTTTCACATGTAGGTATTTCAAATTAAGCTGAAATACCACTGCTCTAAGACAATCAAATTGCAGAAATTTCTCCTGTAGTAGTATAACATACGAAATAGCTCACTGTATACAAAACAAATTATTTAACTTTAAATTTATCAATGAGGCCAGTCTTATCTGCTACGTTTAGTCACATCTTTGTCCTCGCAAAATGGCTTGATGAAACGTATAATTCTCTGTTAATCAATCGTTACACCTTAACCAAAAACTTCCTCTTTTGCTGAGAATCAAAACCCGCCTAGAAAAAGACGAAAACCACATCAGAATAAAACTTTCTGTAGCATGAGGCAGGGTTATCCACGTAGCACTTGGTTGAACAATTTTGTCAGATGTGGCATCATATAAGATAGTAATGCTCGTAGTGCTCACAACATATAATTTATCCTGAGATAAGACAGAGTTTTACTGATATTCTTTTATTAGCCTTTCAATAGTATAGGGCACACTGGCTAGGCCAGTTTTGCGGAAGACTCTCATTATTTTGCGGAGCCGAATTACCGATAACGTCATGGCCTGAAAACGGTCAGCATGGGTATAACGTGCACAACAGGCGTTATGTGGGGCGCGAGCGCGAACAGCGAGGTGTGTAAGAGGAGGGAAAGATAAAAAAAACCGACTACAGACAGGTTATCGTTTTCTTTTCCCGCCCACGTACACGCCCTTGAACAAATAACCAATAAAAGGGGTAAAATTATAGGTTGTAATTATAGCGCTTGCTACTCTATTGGCACATGTTGAATTGATATAAAATAGAAAAGGTTCCATATCAGGTAAGAACAATTCACACCATAGTAGAAAACTGATATCGACTGGTTAGCAAATGTTCCATCACTGATCTTAATTGATATTAGGTAAGAACAAGTCACCACATTAGCAAATTGATGTTGATGAAACACGTTCCATCATCCATCATGGTATCTATCATCTCAAAATAGAAAATGCTATTTCACGGAAATTTGAGTAAGGTAGAAGATATTATTAGGACAAATAGCTTTTATTAGGGTGGATCACATCAGCCAAGATATAAAAATAAAAAAAAAGGCGTCAATAAATAATTCTGAGGCACACAGCGCAACATTGTTGACATTTTATGACATCCTTTGTTACACATCACATTTTTTTCTAAGAATCCTTTAGCAAGGATTTTAACCTTTATCTGTAATTAAGTCACTTGATAGGTTTTTCTAAGCCGTTCTCGTCCTCAGGGCTGCAAACCTGGTGGTCAACGCCAAGGATCAAAAGATAGCCTCACAGAGATGTGGAGAGGCCGGATTAATAAAATCTGTAACTACGAATACTTTTTTCATAACAAAGTCAACATTTTTATTGGACCTCTATATTCGAAGGAAATTTTCTACGCGTTCTTGCGATGACTAAAGGATCTTAGATTTCCTAGTAAATAATTCTTAGATTAATCTCTTTTTTCTCTAAATATTTTGTAGGCAAGGAAGCCATATGTTTCATCGAGTGCAATAACATGTTGATTTGTGTAAAGTATCACTAATTTCATCAGGCTTTGATATACGAAATAATTACGAACGAAAAATGAGGATCTTACCCTGCCTTGTAGTGTCCGAACCCGTACCGCGAAACAAGGAGGAATCAAAAAAGCACAGATCCTCTTGAAATTTCAGAAAGAGTAGATTCAGCTGCTAAATTTAAGCTCGAATTTAAACAATACTGATTGTAAAAAGTTAAATTATCTGAAATGGCTATAAATGCCTCTAAAACTGCCAATAGTAATATAAATTTGTAATTATTACATCGGCACCTACAACAACAAGTTACAACCAGCCCCCTTCGTTAAAGTTTAAAAATAATTTGAAGCTAAACCCAACACACGCAAAGGTTGAGTGTCACCCGGACATTTTACCATCTCTGAAAAAAGTTGCCTTTAATTGTCATTAAGTGAGCTACAAACTCATTGCAACAGCTACAAGACAAAGTTTGTTCTCTTTTTTGCAGTATTGTCCCTTGTTTGTGTGTTAAGTGACAGATCTGGGTAAAGGGGTGGTATAATTGCACGGTCCCCGAAAGGGTAAAGCAATTCTGTATCATGTAGACATTTCCAAACGATATTTTTTGGTTTGCCACTTGAAATAGTGTTTTGCTTTTTGCATGAATTAAAGCAAAGGAGTAGTGACATCACTGGACGGCATTAACGGCCGGTCGATTCAGATGTTACTGGGGGAGTAATAACGACTCGAAGTAATCGAATGAAATTTTAATTTAATCCATGGCTCTGCGCTTAGCCTCGCTTTGAAACAGAGGCTTGAGGCAACTTAAAAATGGTCTATTTCATTCCCTTTCAAAAATACGGAGAAACCAGACCCTACTATGCTACTAACGTGGACGTTTATTGTAATTATATATTGTTACTGTCACGCATGGTAAACGAGCATGTTTTAATGAGTCCCGGATGTGTGACGTAATATACTACATAACATCTTCCTTCCAAGAATAAGGATACATGCGTAATTAACTTGTGAAAACTAACCAAATTTTCGGCAAGAAAGATTCCTAGAACAAATCAAATGTTCTTTGAATTTCAAATGTTCCTTTGAACTTGTACTGAGAAAAAAAAGAACGAAACAAAGTCTAACTTGATAAGTCAGTCCTATTCTTAAATCTCTCACTGAACAATGTCCTTAAACAGGTTGTTAGGCTTGACTGATTCGTCGGTAATGAGGTCTCCACAGCCTATCTGTGTCATACCTTTGGTGAATGTCTTGATTTTCAGCGCCTATTTGTTTCGACTTGAGTGATGTTCCCGCTTCAAAACACTATGTTATTGATTAGCGTCTCAACAAGGCGAGCGCATGGTAAACGAGCATGTTTTAATGAGTCCCGGATGTTTGACGTAATACACTACATAACAGTTACTATTAGTGTTACTATTAGTATCACTATTTTTTTTCTGGACCTGGTAGTGGAACTTACTTTATGAGTATTTCAGGCCTCTTAGCGAGGTTTGTAAGCATTTTAAAACCTAATGTTGTTGGACTCTTAACTAGGTTGTGACTCGTCGGATCGAATACGGTTAAGTGTGAGAACCAATTATGAAAATTTGGTAGAGATAACGTGAGTAACCATACGTAATCTTTGCTGTGACTATTCAAGTAAAATCTCTTAAATAGTATTTCATCATGGTACTATTTTCTTTCATTATCATCACCATTTTTATTTTTCTTGAATTTGAATTTTAAGCACCCGCTCTAATAGGTGTATTTCTCATAGCCCAGGAAATCCATAAGATCTCTGCATTCATCCTCTACCGCCTTTATAAAGGGCATTGGTGCGTTTTTCCAACCATGAATGGCGGCTGTGGCATTCCTGAAAACAGAGTATTCTGTTCCTTGTTTTGAATTGTATGCCTGTTTACTTATCCATTTATCAATGCTCGCTGACCAATCAAATTCTGCGAACCGGTATAGTTCCCGTGTGATATTTACCGTATTTTCCACAAGATCCTCATAGCGAATAATCAGAAAGCGGTTCTTAAGCCAGGGAGGGGGAAACAACAATCCAAAGCGAATATTCTGTAGTATCGGATTACAAATTCTTCGCACATTATCACTAAAGCTGGGATGCAAATGATCTTTCATCCATTTGAGATTTACCCTGGAGTTCACTACTGCTCTTGGATCCCGAACTAAATGGACAACTTTGACGTTGTAGTGGCTTTGTTCTTGGAAAAGTTCCCTTAAAGTTTCTATTGTCTTGTTGGGTACTCGTGCAGACAAAATCTTTATAACAGTGTAGTTGTGATTTTCACAAGTAGTGGTAAGCAAAGTTCTTGAAAACCGCGCCAAATTTTTGTTCGAAAGTGCCTTACTATGGAGAAGATGCCACCGGTCCCTTAAAAGTGCCGATATAGTAGTCTTAGAGAAGTTCGTGAAGTCGCACTTGAGGAAACCATCGATTACCCGGAGGAATGCTTGTTTGTAATTCTTTGGTTCTTTCTCTCCTTTAACCAAATCAACATGGAAAATTTTTCCAGTTATGGCAAAAAAAGGTTCAAAGGAATACATGACATAAGGATTTTCATTAAAAAGTGATCCAAGGAAAGAGGAGCCTCCGCGGCCTGGACTTATTATGATGAGATTTTTCCTTGTAGAAAAAGGTTTTTGTGGCAGCGGTGTTGCACACTCCATTGTACTGTTGGTCTTTTGAAAGTCAGTTAACAGTGGTGTTAATGATTTCCTTCCAACTTTGTTGTATAAATACAATAGAAGCAGTGAGATAAGAGTACAAATAACGACAAATATAAAGTTGCTTCTCATGGCTGATTATGTTTTACCTGCAGAGAAAAACATACAATACACCTCAATGTTAATGAGGAGGAGTGACATTCAAATTGGGAACTAAAGATTAAATTGTTGAGCTAAGGTGGAGATAAAACCTAACTAGTGGACGGTGAGGGTTTTGGGCCGTTTAGGGGAGGAGTAAGGATGAGTTAACCACGAATAAAGTGCGCGGAAACTTCTTAATTCATGCGAAATAATTAAGAGATTTTTAGGCGGCACTTTGAACAGCAAGGTCATAAATTAAGGATAGGAATCTACATTTGAGTACACAAGTTCATAAATAAAAATGCATTTTCAGTTTATAGTGAACATGTTAAGTTATCAGGACAGACATTTCAGGGGCGAGAACAAAAAAGAAAAAAGTAGAACGTTAAGAAAATTACCAGTTTAAAAATAATAAATCTTGACTACTAGGTTGTAATGGTAAATAATCGTCTTAGCCATCGTCTTATATAATTGGCCATTGCATGACTCCAGGTTATCGCCTCAGTTTCAGGATAGAGAAAATTTAGAAATGAGGCTCCCAGCGTGCCCCTTTCTATTCTTAACGCCGCGGGTGACACCTACATGTGTATCTATGAATAAAGCCATAAGGCAATATTTTGCTCGTACTACATCTTTTAAAACTCTCGGCTGTGTAAGAAGCTATATAGATAACATTTTACAGACACATTGTGGAATAATAGAAGTTTAGGAGGATTGTTGAATGCACAAATGTAACAAAAGTCTTAACAAAGCAAAAAAGTAAATGACACTTACGCACGATTGTTTTGGTATCAGCCATTCCTTTTCCTTTTTTACAAAGTGAGGGGAAACATCGAGCAGATTGGAATGACACTTGAAACCTAACTTGTGCAGGGGAAAGATATCTTTCATATCAAAATGAGCGCAATTTAGTCGAAAGGGCCAGAATTCAGGTCGCGTGCTAGGAGAGGGGAGTAGTTCACGGGGTCCGCAAATTTCACCGTTTAAAAGAACTGCACTGACTATTTTTCATCCTTTGAAATAAGGCGCGCTTAGAATGAGCAAGAAAATATGCCTTTTGTTACAAAGCCTTGCCTCTGAGTCAACTTCTTTGTTCGAAAACATATTAAAGGAGCTGTGAATCAAAACATCAGCACGCTTACTTTGGAGTAAATTTACTTTAAGTCACGGTTGGTACAAAAAATTTTTCACCGTTGTTCATTTATGGAACTAACAGAATTTTGAGGTATCAGTCGAAAGTAACATAACTATTCGTTTGTTTTTAATGGTCAAGATGACAAAAATTACAAACCTTATACCTATAATCTGCATTATACCTGGGAGATAACGTTTTTAGTCGGGTACTCTTCACAACAATTGAAATTCAAATAGGAAGAGTTTTAATGCAAATGAAAAATATTAGTGAAAAAACAACCAAACAAAAACAAACAAATCGAAGAAGAAAACTAAAACAAAGAGGAAAACAAGAATATAAAAAATAAATCCCTTTCTTCTGTGTGCCTCCTTCGCTTGGATTTCAGACTTCTTCTTTATACAAAGCAGATGTCAAGTATTTACCCATGGAACATGCATGTATGCAGCAACACATCCTGCAATGACCATGAAACTAGATTCGTATGATGAAGTTAAATTTCTTGTAGCCCTCAATCTTTGGTCCGAATGCCTACGAAAATCTTTGGCTTTTCTGATTAAAATACACTACAAAGAATTAATTCATTGAACAATTAGGAATAAATTTCAGAGATATAACACTTTTTTTCAATTTAGATTTTAGACTATAATCATATTTGCCAATATGCCATTTTACTGTTATGGATGGAAGCGAGGCTGAGGGTGACCTTGTTTTGATACAAACCTCCTTGCTTTATTATGTAAATCAAGTTATTCTTATGCTTCCTAATTATGCTTCCTAGTATTTTTCAAGAACAATTTCCATAACAAAGCAAAGAAGGTTTGTATCAAAACAAGGTCACCCTCACCCTCGCTTCCATCCATAACTGTAAAATGGCCTATTTGAATTGAGCACGGCGAGTGAGCCATTATTTGCACTACATAGATTTTAGGCCTTGTCCTATAAACTGCCGAGTTCTAAGATATACAAAAACCGAATCATGTTTCTGTCCATTTGACTTTTTTTTTCCTTACAAAATATTTTCAATCTATTACAAAGGAGACAAGGGACAATGCAGATAGCAAAACAATTTGACTGACAGGTGGTGTTAACTGACAGGATGACGTTGTAATAGATGTTTATTATACTTTTGATTAAATGTTATTACACTTGTGAATTTTATTACATTTGTGAGCGAATATTATTACACTTGTGACCTTTATTACATTTGTTACGAGTTATTACATTTGTGCCTTCAAGACTGAAGGCGTTGAGATATCGGGGTTGGCCAAATTGAGACACGGCTTACCGGTATTGACCACGGTTTTGTTTTGAAACAACGAGTACTATGTATTTTTAAAATGACCGTTACGAAGACTCGAGTTCTTTTAACAAGGACGTTGGGCATAATTTCAGTTACTTTTTCGGTAGCGGAGTAGGTAGAAGGAAGCACGCATCTATTGCATATCCCGGCTCTTTTTTTCTGTTCTCTTCGAAACTATTGATCAAAGCGTTCAGCTGAGCCTGATGGTATTTCTGGACGAGTTTTACCGGTTTGAATGCGAACAAGAATCTAAGTACTCAATCTTTTTTGCCTCCTCCCGAAAGAATCAGTTTCGTGAGAGACTTCACTTTCTTACGAGAGGTCGAGGCGTCGACAGGGGCGGCACCCTCGCGTCACGCGGTTGGTCATTTTCGTGTCTCGCGCATTTCCCTCGACGGACTAAGAGAAAGGAAAGACAGCTCGTGGTCTAACAGATGGGGTGTGCAGAGGAAAACAAAATCCTGAAGAAAGCTGATATGGCCAGCCGAAATATTGTTATAAAAAAAGCAATGCACCTTTTTATGATCAACTTTCTAATAGTTCTCGTTTGTTGGTTTTAAATATTTTAGCTGATTAGATCTCTTTTTTAGAGATCCAACGTTGACAACCAGCAGGATCTTTGTCCACGTTTTTCGCAATTAATTTCTTTATCATTGTGCAAAGGAATGTGTTAAATAAATTACGGAAATAACGTTAATTTAATTTGAAAATATCTTTTTCAAAGAGAGGCAGCAGTTTCGGCGGTGAGAGGATACGCCTGTTTCGTGTGGACTGGAGGCCATTCGTACAAAGAAAATATGTGGTCGTAAAAATATCCGGATTCGTTTGGACGCCCGGGCCTCAGGATCCGTAGCGCGTTCACTTAAATCGAGGCCGTGGCTAATCTTGCCCTGGATTTGAAAGGTGAAGCACTTGTTAAAGAAATAAGTTTATTAAAGCCATTTTAAGGTTAAATGAAGAGAGAGTGACATATTTAAAAAGATGTATTAGAAATTTAATTTTGTAGAGAACATAACGTTTGACTCTATGTCAGGAAATCAGAGTTAAACGTTTTACGACCAAGTGAAAGCCTTTACAGCGTCTTGTTTTTAAATGAATGTTAGGAAAAAGGTGTAAATGCCTGTTCCTGGCTTGGGTTACTGGATCGTGTTTGCGGTCGCATATCGATAGCACATAGACGTCCAAGTTTTTCTAAGCAAATAATTGCTAAGAGGGCCACCGGCGGTGAGAAGAGGTGAGAAGAAAAAACGATTTTTGGGCTCAACGTGTTTAAAGTTTTTATTTTAATTAATTTTTATGCGCTGGCCTCCTCAGTTACCTCTTTGAGAGACAAGAGGAGACGTACAAACAATTATCCACCAAACAAAGATCTGGATACATAGCATACGCTGCTAATTTACATGTGCTTTTCTCCCAAACAACTTTCCTTTCTTTTATGCCAACAAGTACGTGCAACTGATGCAAAATTCTAACACTTCATCATAATGTTATTTTTAAGCCTTTAAACATGTATCACATGTGAGAAAGCGATCAAACATGTTAGGTTTACCTTTCTTTTTCGTAACGGTTGCCATCAAAGCATTTTCTAAAATGCTTCCTTGAAAATCACTAACACCTACCAGACAATGTGGGCGAAATAAAGATGTTCCATCACGGTACTAAAGCAAGAGAGGATAAAGGGGACAGAGAAGGTATCCCCCATACACACCCCATTCCATAGGTAATTCGTCTCGAGTTATTTTTAAGACCACAGATCGCAAGGGGGATTAGACAACAGCCAATCACATAGCGCGAACGTGTTCCGCGTGGATGACCCACGCTCAGAGCAGCGCGTCCTTCACGAATTGACGCAGAAAAAAATGGTGGAAGACGCGGAGAGCGATATTGCTATTCGTTTTGTCGACGAAAACGACTAAAGAGTGATTTATGCTAAAGCTGTGTCAGCGAAACGGAAATTAAAAAAGAATGGCCCTTCCTCTCTTGTATAGAGCTAAAAGTACAGCAGGGAAATACTTAACACACTGAATATTCTCTCAGGACAAGAGAGGATAAAGGGGACAGAGAAGGCATCCCCCATACACGCCCTATTCCATAGGTAATTCGTCTCGTGTTATTTTTAAGACCACAGATCCCAAGGGGGATTAGACAACAGCCAATCACATAGCGCGAATTTGTTCCGCGTGGATGACCCACGCTCAGAGCCACGCGTCCTTCACGAATTGACGCTGAAAAAAATGGTGGAAGACGCGGAGAGCGATATTGCTATTCGTTTTGTCGACGAAAACGACTAAAGAGAGATTTCTACTAAAGCGGTGTCAGCGAAATGGAAATTAAAAAAGAATCGCCCTTCTTCTCTTGCATAGAGCTAAGAGTACAGCAGGGAAATCCTTAACACACTGAATATTCTCTGAGGATCATTTATAATTTACAGTTTAAATAGAGCAATTTGTGGTTTGATATTTATTCTTTTATTATTCTTTTATTATTCAACAAAAATAACACTTGGTGTCCTACTAGCCTTATGTACAAACGACCAGCGAAATTTCTCATTTTATTAAAGCACTGAGGTTACGACAACTTCGAGTTAAACTGATTTCACGGGTTGTCAAAGAGTCCAGCGATTCCCTTTTCCCAGGTGAGCGCCGACTCATTTCGCTTCAATATTCAGAAATGCTCTCGATCTCTTTACGCTTTCATTGCCTTTTTTCCGACATGTTTTGCACGGCGTAGAGTCATGCGAAACCTCCACGAAACATCCATGCAGCGCGCGAGGTAACTTTATCCCGATTCTAAAAATAACTCGAGACGAATTACCTATGGGATAGGGTGTGTATGGGGGATGCCTTCTCTGTCCCCTTTATCCTCTCTTGCTCAGGATCATTTTTAATTTACAGTTTGAAGAGAGCAATTTGTGGTTTGATATTTATTCTTTTATTAGTTTTTTTATTATTCAACAAAAATAACACTTGGGGCCCTACTTACCTTATTGTACAAACGACCGGTTTCAATAGACCGGCGAAATTTCTCATTTTATTAAAGCACTGAGGTTACGACAACTTCGAGTTAAACTGATTTCACGGGTTGTCAAAGAGTCCAGCGATTCCCTTTTCCCAGGTGAGCGCCGACTCATTTCGCTTCAATATTCAGGAATACGATCTCTTTACGATTTCATTGCCTTTCGCGCGACATGTTTTGCACGGCGTTTAGTCATGCGAAACCTCTACGAAACATCCACGCAGCGCGCGAGGTAACTTTATCCCGATTCTAAAAATAACTCGAGACGAATTACCTATGGAATAGGGTGTGTATGGGGGATGCCTTCTCTGTCCCCTTTATCCTCTTGATCAAAAGGTAACCCGCTCACACCAACGGAGACCAACGGGTCGTCGAGAGGCCAGATTCATAAAATCTGTAACTTCAAATACTTTGTTTCACAAAAAAGACGTTTGGATATGCGGTCATAGGCATTTTGCAGGTAACGTTTTATATATTAAGTTACTGATGACCCGCAACAACTCGCGTTTGATAGAAAAGGACGTGATTATCACACACAGTCACTCAAGGTCACGGTTTGTATTGGAAGACTCTAAAAGGTTTAGTACGCACGAAGCATCAAGACTTCTCTCGAAAGTAAGACTTACCAAACAACGGAGGAGAAAAAGGTGATTGGAATCAAAATGTTTGTGAAGACTGACGCGCAAAAGAATAACCGGAGACTCACCGAAACCTGCTCAGTCAGAAATAACCTGATTAGCTTTAATTGTAAAACCATTGAAATCTGGTTATTTTTTCAAATAAATAGAACAAAACATTACTCACAAGACTATCAATGCTCCAGGGATACCACAGCATCATACATTGTACCTTTCCGGCTCCAGAGGAAAGAAATCGGTGGGCTGGCCTCTTTTCATTTTACAGTTGACTGCAGCAGACTGCAAGGTTTCTGTAAGCCTGCTTCGCAGCTACAAGAGACGGAGGAAATGGAGTTCTATACAGTGACTATATCTAGTTCTTTTGTCCGGCTACAGCCAAGCCAAGGATGCTATATGAATAAAACATAAAAGGCGCTTTAAATTATATGAAATAAGGCACGAAATGTAGCTGCAGCGTTGCTGGGGTCGGCGAAAACGAAAATTTCTTCGTTGGATTTACATATTAAGCTGCAAATACGATAAACGCACTGAGTTATGCAACCCAATATTGCAACAAAGTAGCTTGTTGCAAATCAGCTTTGAAATTCCTTATAGAATGTAGAAATCCTGGGGGACATGTACAATGCCAAAAGATCCAAAAACATCATCCATTACTTTCTATTTGAGTTTACATAATTAGAGGTTTAAGCTTTGCCAAGAAAGCGTAGAATATATCGATGTTTTGATATTGTTTGCTTCGGGAGAGCTATTAGAGTGAGTATAGATTTCGTACCAGAGAATTAATCATGAAAAGACAGCAATATTGACATGCAATGTTTACTTTAAAGCTCAAATGTTTAAAATAGCACATCAATAGTGCGAGCGTAAAATACATTTGTCTGCGGATTCCATGACCTGTCTGACATATTTCTAAAGATGCTTCAAAGTGCTATTTTTTGTGCTATTTACACCAGAGAATTACACGAGTTTTCTGCCGCGAAGGCCATGGTGTTGAGTTTAAGGTCCGTCTGATGTCACAGTAATCACGTGCTTGCTCATGCTAGTGATGCAGTAGTCATAACATACATACATATGGCTTTGCCCCCTTTGTGACAGATCCGAAATTGGTGATGAATTCCACTATTTGTTGAAATGTACTCACTCATTACTTTCTCATATAAGGGATATCTTCTTAGAGAGCCTATACTCGACAAACAGTAATTTTACGAATAAGTCTTGCAAAGCACTATTTCTATATATCATGTCTTTGTGCGATGAAAACATCATAAATCCTAGTGCCTCTTATCGCTGGTTTTCAGTGTCACGCTATTCAAAATAGATTAAAATCAAAATCAAAACCATTCAATAGATAAAGTCCAGAATCTGAGAAATGAAAGGAGGTACATATACAAAGACCCTCGCCAAGATTCAGGTCAAAGGAACATTTCGTATACGAGATATTCGAAGAAACGTTTTAGCTCGTTTTACCCAAATTTATAGAGATTTGTATGGAGACGCCATGCTGGTGCTTATCCGGATGAGCTCCAACATGGCGGACGGAAACCAACAGAAACATCTGTTACCGAGTTTTGCTACAAAAGCGTGAATTTATTCTTCCAAGAACTCATAAACATTAAAGTAATACTTTTTCTAATACATGAACTGTTTAGATAAGAAAATTCCCTGAAATAAGTCATTTTTTTTAAACCTACGTGACAGCTCTAAAGGCCGCGTCACGCAAAAGCTTAGAAATTCAAGCGTACTCTATCACAAATCCAAGAACCCTTTTGAAGCGAAAATTTGTATGAAAATTAGTTTTTAGCTGCTCTAATACATCGTGAAAGTAAAATCTCGGTAGGATCGATAGTTTTGTATTTTGAATTTTAGTGACGTCATGTGAAAACCAGCAATTATTGAAAATATTCTAAATTGTTATAAATCCGAACTCTAATTAAACTTTCTTACCGTACAAGTAGCATAGAAGCAGTACATAGCCAAGTAATTTTTCTTTTATGATAATAATCAATATATAGTTGCTGTTCCTTTCTTTCTTACTTAACTTTTATTCTACTTTGTTTCATTCGTCATTGTATTGACTGTTTTGGTACTGAAATCTTCATGTCGAAGATAAAGTCAATAAAGTTGTTGTTGTTGTTGTAAAGTTGTGTTATACCACGTGCTATAAAAAAGCGTTCCGACATATGTAAAGGAAATAGACCAAGACTGCCATGAATTTCAACTTTTCTCCGGGAAAGGTGAAGGCCAGGAGATAAATTCGTAAAGCAAAAATGATATAGACAAAGCAGATGAGAAAACTCCAAGGAGAAGAGTACGATACCGTGGCTATGCTAATAGTGATGAAACCTTTCGATAATTAAGGAAACCGTTCTCGCGATAAAGACGTAGTCAAGGCACATGGCGGAAGCCAGTGGTTTCCCCCCCGTTGTGAGTTCGCCCCCAGCTAGTTCGCCCCGTAAGAAATCGAGCTCAATTCATAGTAGCACATAGTGAATTAACTTCGTGAAGAGTTAACACCTCAATCCATCAACCATTTCTATTTTAACGACCGTATTCACCTTGTACCAAAGGTTGCTTCGATGAAAACCGTGATCCGGCTGATATAAGATTCGAACAATTTTATAGTTCTCTTTTCAAGTATAGATAAAGGAATATCATTCCAATCATAATAAAATCCTATAACTGTTGCACAGAATATTTTTCTCATATATTTATTCTAAAGCTACTGGGATCTAGGTGCTGCAAGGATGCACTTCTGGTGTTATAATTATGTTGCTGAGACACCAAGGCAAGCCGCTAACAGTCCTATATATATTTTAAGTCTTCCCTAAAAACATTTTATTGGTGATCCAATAAATAGCAGAATTCAGTGTAGTTACTGAAGGGGACCAAAACTCCGTTTGTTCTATTCAATATGCGATTAATTGACAGCAGAAGAAAATATTAATTATACGTTTAAGCATAGTTAACAGAGGAGAACGGAAAGCCGTCAAAAATCATTGATGAAATCAATACTGTGAGCTACACTTTATGTTGGGAGTGTTTCTTTTTTTTCAGTTCTCAAATTGGGTTTAAAAAATTTAACGACGTTTTGTATTTTTTAAATTAATTTAAATGATATTCCAAGTAGATACAAGAAGAGGGCATACTTAAACTAAAATCTGTAAGAGACCAGCTGTCGCTCAGTTTGCGTGAGAGCTGTTTAATAGTTCCTCTAGCCAAACACAGCATTGTTTGTATTTTATCGAATGTTTTGTTTCTTAATTATCGCAGCTTCTGAAGAATGGCATCCGTCTGCAATGCCCGCAAGAATTACATGATCTCAAAGATCGAATGGACAAAAGAGCGAGGACGTTCGTGGTAAGCTGATCTAGAAACTCAAACAGTGTACTTCAACTAAGTGCCAAAAAAATCTATTCAAGATCACTAAAACAATACATTATTCTCTCTTGGACGATATTAATACTTCTGCTTCTTAATGAATTAGTCACCTGTTAACCAAAGTCTTTTATTTATGATTCTTGCAGGAATTCTTCGAAGAAGAGTGCCGGAACGCGGACGGTGGCCGCTGGGTAATTGCGGAATCAGACATTGATGATGCCAGAAATTATGTTGTTTTACGGACTTTACACGAAACACTATTACTTTTCGATGTGGACCTTGGAAAACTGACTACATAGATGTAGATCGCAACTGAATTAAACCTAACCTGATTCTGGAACACAGAATGAATAAAATTTATTGTTATTGATCCAAGTGTGTACACTGTATCTATTGAGAATGAATACCCTACATACATTACTTTACCCTCGTGTTTTAAGGAAGTCGTAGCTGAATCTGAACACATATAAAAATTTATAAAGTTTATTTGCTTCATTTGATAGATTCTTCAAAGGCAGTAGTGTCATATATTTGATATATAAGAACATGATATTTTGCTCTTGTCTCTAGGGCTCCCAGTTTTCAAGATAAGGAGATACTATTGTAAGTGCTGAATGATGAATTTTGCACCAGACAAATACAGTACTAAAGAGTGACGACATAAAAATGAAATTTCTGAAATTATGGGATTTGTCAGGATATTCTGAAAGAACAATGTCCAAGAGGTCTACTTGCCAAAAATGAGCATTTCGGGGCAAATTGTCTCTGAGATCGTAGCCCAGTTATGCTTAGAAACTCTTCTAAATTTTTTTGGGTCGACCCATTTTTATGACGTCGTCACTATAGTAATCTACAGGCAGGTAATTGAAGGCGAAGGGAAAGGCGGGAAATTAGACGCACGAGATCTCGATAGGTGGAAAGCCGCCCCGCTCCACTGATGTACTAGCTAGTGCGCCTTATAATTAACGCACCAGTTAATTCCAGCTTTTCGCAGCACCCCTCCCCCCGGGCTACTGCGGGGCATTTCCCCACCTTGTCAGTCCCGGGGATGGAGCATTTGCAAATTGTGTGTTGCCCGGGGCTCGGGTATTTTCAAACCTCGGGGCCATTCCCGAGCTTTTGACACGCACGCGGTTTCCTATCAGAATAAATTATAACTACACAGAGGATTTTACTGGTAAAAAACGCAGATTGGCTCATCTGTCAAGGACAGGAAAAAGTTGAAAAGGGTTGCAAAGGCATGTTCTTGTTTTTATGCATGCATTTCTTCATTGCTTATCAAGCCAGAGTTACATAGCGAAATGGAAAGCTAGCGACGTGAATCAGCGTTTTTTGGTTATTGAATCAAATTTCTGTTGATATTATTTGAAGAACATCCTTTCATATGAAAACTATTCATAACATATAACCTTAACTTAACGGCGCTCTATTAATTTTAATGTCAATAATTTTTTACATCAATACTTAAATTATAAACTGGTGCATGTTGTCGAGGCGTGAAGCTCTAATTAGAATCCTAGCGCTGTTACAAGGAAGACGTTAATTGAAACAAAAAATCGCACATAAAAATGCTTAAAACGGCTCTATTCGACTGGGCTCAGCTGGAATTGACTGATGCATAATTCCCTCATCCCTTTTCTTTTCAAACCACAACTTTCAAACCTTTCTACACCTCTTGGACAAACAACAGCGAAGAGAAGTAGGATCTTGGCGTAGATCGGGATCAGCAATATAGAATATAACTAAGTATTGAAACAAAACTGAATGTAAGGATGGCAACCCGCGCGGCAAAAGGCTGATCTATTTGTGTCCAATATTTCGGCACTCTTTCAGTGTAGCTCTGGCCCTGAGGAAGGCTTATTTTGTTAGCCAAAATATTGGCCCATAATAAATCAGCCCTTTGCCGTATTGCCTGCCTTGCATTAGTTATGTTTTAATTCCCACTTCAAGAGACGCCTGGCATTAATATCTCTACATCAGAGATCTGGCAAGAAAGAGCCAGTCAATTTATTTACGCGTTGAGTGGACCTATACATTCATAGGTTTTTAAAATTAATGGTAAGGGTAATCGGATAGTAATATATTTGCCAATTATTTCGAGGTTAGGTAAAACTAACCTTCATCAGCGGATACAAAGGTGGACTTTAAAACTATAATAAACAGTTACAATATTTTCAAAAATAATACAAAAGCCAATGACAAAATGTGATTGGTAAAGAAAGACAGTAGACGTAAGGTTACTATGAAAATACAAATAAAAATACACAAAATAAAAATAGATTAAGTTTCTTGTCAGGCGTCTGTTCATCCCATTACTAAGGTTAAAGTGTGTCCCTTTGAAATTTAAAATGCCTCTCAATACAGATACCATCTCCGTCTAAACTAGTGAGTTCTAATTAAGTTACGGTCATTCCATTAAATATCTTCAAAGACATTAAAATTCATTCCCTTAGAACTCAACTATCATGGCCGACAGTTTATTTTTGTATTGTTTTGTTTTGTTTCGTTTTGTTTTTTGCTTTTTGTTTGTTTTATTGCGTTGGGTTGTTTTGCTTTGTTTTGTTTCTTGGTCCCTTTTGCCATATACGGCAAAATTCGAAAATAAGTCCGTCCATGTATAAGCCCCTCCAAATATAAGCCCCCCAGCCCCGGTAACGCAAAAAAACCCTCCGTTAAATCGCCCCTCCTAATATAAGCCCCCGGGGGACTTGTACTTGGAAAATTGCCCTCGAATACAAAGTAAAAAAAGCAAAAACGGTAAATTTACTACTAACTATGAGGTTAGCCCAATCGATTTTGAAACGCAAATTTCCAACCATAGATAAACCACTCCGAATACTGAAGCCCCTCCAAAAATAAGCCCCTCAAAAAGGGCCTTTGAAAAATATAATTCCCGGGGCTTATTTTCGGAATTTTACGGTATTTTTGGGCTTGTTTGCCCTTTACTCCTTCTAACGGCCCTTTTCTTGAGTTTCACAAGGTTTTGCGCGCGAGGTTTTGCGATACATGTATTTCTGCTAGATAACTAAATATTTGCCTGGCAGTCAGGTTGTCTTGCTACAAGTCAAGTCCTTTCCCATCACAACCAAAATGTTGTAGTAACAAACGAAGTGTCCAAGGGGCAAAATCGTAGTAGATTTTCATATAGTGACAGCCTTGTTGCTTTGTTTTTCATTTAAGTAAATCGTTTGCCCGTGTTTCCTAGCCTGCCAACAGCAGACGAATTTCCGGTCTTCTCTTCTAAATGTTTCCAGATACTCCAATGATTTTCCTTATGCTTTAGATTCTTTAGTAGCCTGTTTGGTTAATTTGTAGGTGACCTTAAAGTTATTCTAAAACTGCTTGCTACCATGATGGATCCGATCGAAAGTTCTAGGAAATAGAGTAGCCGCACTTTCGTTAAAAAATTCTACAAGGGACGTTCTGTCGTTCTTCTGTATCAAGAGTCATTCTCTCTTGTCTATATCTATACCGAAATTTTCAGTAGACTTTCTTGTAGCTATAATCGCAATATCTTGGTAATAAAATGTGAAAAACACAATCTCCAAAACTCCGAAAATCTTAGACGAATCAAACGGCTGTTCAAAAATTGTGAGCCTTTTTTTGCTCACTCGAAGAGTTTGTTGGGTGTCCTGTGATTCCTTTCCAAGTCTGCTGATGACGATGTCGTCGGTCACACAAGGGGAGGTTACAAAGGCTTGCTCAGTCAGCAGCTCAGCTCAGAGGAGTGAATTTGACCAGGGCTGAGATTTTGTTGTTTTTTTTAAAAAATAACCATGAAATTATATGCTCTTAGCGTTGTACGGAAAGATTTAAAGTCAACGACACTAGTTTCGGCCTACGATCTTCAAGCATTTGGCTACTTCCAACGATCAAGGTAGGTTTTGACATGGTTGCCATACATCAGAAAAACACATTCAATTGAATATTCTAAGCTTATATTTTTCCGGTTGCCTGCGACTATTTGATCATATGAATTATAGTTTATTTGTTTACTTTGTAATTTCTATGTGTATTGGATCGAATGGTTTGATTTAATATTGAAATCAACAGAAAGTCAATTAATCGAAATTTATAAGGGTATTATAAAATACGCTTGGGTCAATGTTGTATCAAACATGATACAACATTTGAAATACATACATGTGAAAATTACAAATCTTTTGCGGGTAGTAGCATAAACAAATAATAACACGATTTGTTCGTGATATTTGGCATAAATACCACTCGTGATATTTCAAAATTGTCTCAAATTTCACTCGCCTATTACATGTACGTATATTAGACCATTTTACAGTTGTGGACTTGGTGTCCTAGCCTTTGAGTGAACGTGAGCCTGAGGTTGACCTTGTTTTGATACAAACCTCCCTAGTCAGTAGTGGCCCTGTTAAAACAAAATTGATAATAATAAAATTACAATAATCATTATAAAAGCCTATTTACAAATTGTGATTATAATATAAGATCTCAAAAATTATAGAGATTTAAAAAATTGAGAGATGTCAAAAACGGAAGGGAATACATTGGTAAAAAAGGGAATCCAATCTGCAATGATTTTAAAAAAGCACGGATTTTTTAAAAATCAGAAAAACTTTTTATATAATTTGAGGCGGCATTATTAGTCAGTGTAGTCTTCATCAAGTTAAAGGAGGTGGTTGCATTGGTTCTAAGTTAAGAGTATTTAGTTCTTTTATGGAGGAATAGAAGAATGTTCTCCTCATTGCTTCGGTTCTTGGCTTCAGTAAGCAGTAAAATGTTTTTGTTCTTGTAGAATACTTGTGTTTAAACCGAAGTGAGTCTAAGATTGTAGTTAAGTTCTCTGGTGCTCTTCCATCAATAACTTTCTTTAAAAGACCGATTTTATTGAGCTTGAATATTTGATCAATTGGCAGCCACTTAAGCTTTTGAAAATTATCAAAAGATCATGCATCCCGAGGACTATCCAAAATTAATTGAGCGCAGCATTTTTGAAGTTTAAACTGTTCATTTAGGTTGGTTTGGCTACAGTTGCTCCAAATAGTACAGCAATAAGTAAATAGCGGTTTGATACTTGCATCGTAGAGAAGTAATCGATATTTGGTTGGTACATATTTCCAAGGTCTTGCTAAAATTGCATTTCTACACAATGAAGTATCAAAATACAAGGACAACTTTGGAATATCTACTGAAGTTACTTGTTCTTTCAACATTACAATGATCCTATTATTACAGACTGCTGAGGTTGTCTGTATGTGGCTTGGAGTTGGTTTTCGTACTTGCTTAGATCATTATTTGTCCAATGGGAATGTGGATTTGTAGGACTTCTTTTAATTTCATGCACAACATGTTATTTGGGTCAAAACAGAAATGAAGTGCATGTAAACCAATAAAAACCATCCATGTTTAGTAGCTGAATTTCATTGATAAGACTAGTTAAAATATTATTTGAACATCTCAATATTATTTATGTGTTTACTGTCTACTACTGTACTGTCAACAGTATAAAGGAATTTATGCAATTCACAAGTCAAATCCTTGTTGAGAGGACAAGAGCAAATGAAAGGGCTTCTGTAAAAGAGCAAGGTAATAATCAAATTATTGACCCTAAACTGCCATATGGCCCTGGTATGCAATTTACCAGCGAGCCACAGCTGACATAAATCTCTAAACACTTCATTAATTTACACTTTACACCAGAAATACTAACATCTGTGACCCTTTTGTTGGTTACATTTGTGTTTAGTTCTCTATTCTTAACTGTAATCTCTACACTATTTTACCATATTGACCATTTTTTACTTTCGCTATCAAGACCAGGGGGTTGTCATTTTTTTCTCTTGGTCAAGAGGAGAGATGTCAAAAAATACTGCATCATGTGAGAAGAAATGAAAAAATTTTGTCCCCTCTGCCCCCCCCCCCCCACTGCAGTGAACATAATGAATGCAACCATTATTCATTAAAAACAAAATACCGGTATTCAAAAATGTTTGAAAACACCATCTCTCTTATTTGTTTACTTTGCAGAATATGTTTGTCATGTGTTTGTGAGGTCAGATTCATTAGGAGGTGTTGTTATATCGGACCTTGAATATCCTCAAAGAGTTGTCTTCACTCTTTTAAATAAAGTAAGTGCCAATAATATTATTTTAAGTTAATGTTCCAAACTGTAAGAATCTGCTTAAACTGACTGACCCAACAGGATAACTAATACATGTTTTCATGATTTTCTGAGTTTGACGGTAAACTGAAGTGACATTTTCTAATAGGTTCTAGAGGATTTTTCAAAGTCTTTTTCACCAAACGTCTGGAAAACAGCACAGCCTGAGTAAGTACACAAAACTCCATAATGTTTTAGAAAGTACCCAATCACATACAACAGGTCCCCCTGGCCTGATGATTGAAAGAACTGACATTACAAATTTGTGTGCACATGTATGTGGATTCCAGGTAATGCAGAAGCCAAGATAATTGCCAGCCATTCCTAAAATGCCTGCTGCGTAGAAATATCAACAAGAAGGCTGTGCATGCAAGGAAAATCTGTGAATGACCCAAAAGATGCCCCAGTTCATAGGCAATTTGTTAAGTAGCTGTCAAAATCCCTTCATCTTGCCGGAAGAAAAATGCATTTTTTTCCTTGTTTCATAGGACTTTATCCTGGCCAGCATGTGATAAATATCTGGAAGATTATCAGGTGCTTATCGTCCTTCTGTCAGTTGTTTTCTTTGAGTAAATTGCAGCCTGTAAGTAATGGTTTGGATTGTTTTAACAAGTTTGCATCATCTGTTACTTAGAATCCAAGAAATGCTGATGCTATGACAAAAGTACAAGCAGAACTGGATGAAACTAAAATTATTTTGGTAAGGTCTATTTTAAACTAATTCATTAAGTACATTGCAAAGTACATGTACGGACAGTAATAATATTAATACAGGGCATACATATTTAATTTTTATCAAATGGTCATTAGCTTCTTTTTACAGTGTGCAGTTATTGTCAATCTATATCCCTGATGGTATAACTTGGTTATGACAGCAGCAAGCAAAAGAGCAGAATGATTAATACCAATATGTGTGCTGCACCAGAACGTTCTTCACAACAGTCTTCCCTGCCATGTGGTCCTGCATGGTGGATTCCAAATCATTCCAACTAATGCTCCAATTCCTGTTTCTACACGTAGAGCTAAGAGAGTCTGTAAGTTCCCATGAGGAGCCTACTAGGAGGTTGTGGTTCTACCAAACAAGTGATGATATATGCAATTTTCATTTTTTTTTTCTGTCCTTCCTTTATGCAGCATAACACAATTGAAGATATACTAGGAAGAGGAGAAAAACTTGATGACCTTGTAGACAAATCTGAAGGTCTAACTCTACAATCTAAAGCTTTCTACAAAACAGTAAGTGAGATTAAGGAGGGTGGAAGGGGTCTGAAGGAAAACTGTTTGGCTCAACTCTGTGGTTGTGAAATACACATACACATTGTATGATGCATTTTTTTTATAATAGGGAATGGGGTTTTGAAATCTTTAGATTGGCTTCAGGGAGGTTTTTTGGGCTTTTGATGTGATCATTCGCATCTTTTCAGTGATACAAAGTTTCTCCCAACAGGATCCGTGTTTGTAAAATAATAGCTATTAACTGGTTTGCTTCTTTCAATTTTTAGAGTTTTGGTGGTGTACCTGGAATCTTAATTAATGGAACTTACTACTTGTCTGCTATAACCCAAATTAATTTAATTTTTCTTGCAACTTTCAAGATAGCCAAAAGTAATAAATCTCAACCAAATTTCCAAATTTTATTCTTTAAGTGCTGAAAAACAAATTGTACCATGTGAATCAAGAGTTAGATGCCATCATTCAGGAGCAGCAAAGCTAGGGGGGCTTGGGATGTGTCATTGCCCCCCATCCCCCACATGTGGCCCACAGTTTGTTCTTGCAGCTTACTGGTTAATTAAGCATTTAAAAGTTGTAAAATGGCCAATTAATTTTGAATTCATACAATTTTCATACCATTATTATATTATGGTTTGGCTCATATGGCATAGCTCAACTGAGTCTGCATGAATAAATGAATGAATATTATGACTCTGTATTGTTTTGTTGCCACCGTAATTATTAAATGTTTGTTTGTTTGTTTTGTTTTTGCTTTATTAGGCGAGGAAAACAAATTCATGCTGCTGTATACAATGAGTCATGGACAATCCAACACAGGGCTTAATGTTATTTTTGTATATTTAAAGAAAAATTACTTAACAGCTACCCAATAAAGCTACGTATATATAGATCCCACAAATAATGACAGGCATTGGAAATTTTTTTTCTGAGATGAAACAGGGCCTAAACAAAAGCCTTCCCTGGGCAAAGTATGATAATGTTGAGTTTCAATTTTTTCCTTGGTTCAAATTTGATTTCCTGAACAAACTATCATACATTACCACACTCCCACACAAAGGAAATTAAAATTTGAGCAAAGGATAATTGAATCACAATTACAGTAGTTATAGGTCTACAAAGCTTACCAACATAACTATTTTACTGTGGAGAAAGAGTTAGATATAGAATAGTTTTTGTTTTGTACATGTAAATTGTTCTAAGCAACTACCAGATACTTTTCCATGTGAACATTTATTAGTCTAGCCTCTGTACAGACGCCCCCCTTCCCTCAGGAAAAAATCGAGGAGACGTTTATGAATCGCTGTCATTAAACATGTTCCTGTTTCCCTGGAATGTCGGGGAAAACCTCTTATTGGTTGTAATGTTAATGCCATGACGCAAGTAATTTCCGGTGTTGTGATTGGTGAATGAACCTCAGAAAAGATTCCCTGGGGAAAACCTCAGCCTTTGTGGACAGCTTACCACATTTTAACATACATGGACGTTTACTTGTATTTTGAGCTCTCTCGAAATTAGACCTCCAATGTTTGCTGCACTGGTTGCGGGTGCATCTGTTCAGTGCCCATGGCTGTCATAAATAAAAGAGAAGGACGTACAGAACTCAGCACTTAATCAGAGATCAAATATCTGAATTTCAGCGTTAACATTGCATGGAAGTTAGTTTTTCAACCTACATGTGCTGGTCATGACTCATAGAATTAGACAAAAGTAGAACGATTCTTTACATGAAACCTACATGTACTCGAAATCATCGAATAGATCAACTCCTGCATAAAAGGCTTGATTGGAAATGTAAACAGTGCTTCCGAGATAAAAATTCTGTCAAACAAAAAACCACAGGAAATCGATGCACAGGAAACAGACCGACTTTAAGCGCTAAAAAATACAGAAGAACATGTACGTGTTGGAATCCTCAAAGCATAATATACTTGTTAAAAATAATTATTGATAATAATAGTAATGTTGAGAATAGTAATGATGATAATGTTAATAATAATAATAATAATAATAATAATAATAATAATAATGTTGAGAACATCTGAGAGAATAACTGTGTACATGTACAAGAGTCCAGAGTTGTGTTGGTCTGTCAACACCTTTTCAACTGTCAGAGGAAAAAGTAATAATATATAGTATGTATACCAGAACACAATTAATGATGATGATTCACAGACGTCTTTCTCTCCGATTATTTTTTTGTGAGGCTAGGGATGCATCTGTACACAGGCTATTAATAGCAATGATTTTAAGGCATTGGTGAGTGTAACTTGCTGATCCAAATATATCTTGTTATCCTGTAGTTTTTACACAAAAGGTGGTTTGTCATGTAATAAACTAACACCTCTTGGAAAGAATGACATTTCCCTGCACTAATTAATGCTCAAGATGGGGTCCTTACAATCCTGATTACTTGTGATCAACTTCATGTTGCTGTTACATTAATGCTGTTGCATAATCAGAAGTTCAAGTGGTGCATCATAAAACAATAATAAAGAGCCAATAAGAAGCATACCAGTGAATTGTTGCCACTTTAAAAGGTTAACTTTTTCTGACATTAAGTAGTATTCAGCTTTCTTACATTCATGTCAAGAGGTTACTTTTTACCAAGGCTAGACAGCTGGTTATCAAACGTATAACCATGGATAACTGATATCCTCCACATCTGTTCAGGCAGTGCCAGTCCCTCCCTCAGACTGATTTACACTGCATGCAGTCTGCTTTTATTTTGGGTGTTGTGTTAGGATGTGTTTTTGGTTGGTTAACAAAAGCAATCCATTAAAAAGGAGGAAATACTGTATGTAGGTTGGCCTAAGCACCAACAGCAAGTATTTTGTTTGCAATCTGTGTACTTTTTTATAGAGTAGTAATATTTGATTCTGAACTGTAAAATGATGAATACTAGTTGTTATTTTGATTTCACGTCAGTCAAAGGTCCCCTTTTGTTCTGACATCTTACCAAGAGCATCTACCTGAGGGTGCTTTTACACTACTTTTACACTGCTTTTACTCTTATGTAACTTGCCTCCAATTTGTTTTTCTTTTTTGAGGTATGCTGTGCAAGAGGTGTTGTCTACTGTAATAAACACATCTAGCAATGATTCAGATTACTACAACAGATGGGCAGAGCTTTGTTAATCATGTACTTTGTACAACACTTTGTGCACACAGAGTTGTTCATCTTACATTGGTGTCTCCTTTTAAGAGTGAAGAAATACAAATAAATCTATAGTTACAGTAATAAAAAATTATATTAAGCATGCAAATAAAACTTCCCTTTGTAGTAAAGGTACATGTAAGTACAGGGCGCAACAGAAATGCTGTCCACTTGCCCAAAACAAATGATGTTTGCTTGGGGACAAGTTTATCAACAAAAAAATTGTTGTTCTGTGAAGGAGCTTTGTATACATAGTAGAGAGAACCCTTGACAGATTAAAGATAAAAAACAAATTAGAACATGGAAAAAGATTATAATTATCTCCAAGGACAATATCAGATTTTACTTTTCCAGTAAAACTAAAATCACACTTGTCCAAAGGACAATTTTTGTTTTTCACACCCTGTTAAATAATATTGCAGTTAATTAATAAACTTGGCATTACTTTAAAATTTCAGGTTGTATTTCTTAACTATCTTCTTTAGTCAGGACTAACTCAGTCATGAAATACAACATTCAAGCTGCTATCAGAGCTGCTGAAACGTGTTACAGCCCTGCTGTGGAGTCAGTAGGATAGTCCCAAGCATCAGCCTTTTTCTTTCTTTGTTAATAAGTTGATGATTCTTTTTAGAAGAGCAAACAAAGGATAATTATTTTCTACTGTTGAAATTTTTAACAGAGTAATGTAATGTATGAGTGAAGGAAAGATAGACATGAATGTGTATGCCCTTGTTTTCTGCTCAGATCAGTAACGCGTACAAAGTGAGTAATAACAATACGTCCGGAAACCAGTTTGAACTCCCACCACTGTGTCTCAATATCATGGGCTCAAATAATCAAAGCTCTACCCTCTTGAACATTGATTTTGTAATATTTGACAAGCGTTTTGCTAGAAAAGTATTAAGATGGAATCCACTAAGACATTGAGTAATATTTTTTATTTTTAGTGGACAAAAATCTTGTACCAGAATAATTTAAGGCATATTGCATTCTTTCTTACATTTTTCAAGGGCTAAAGATGTAATAAATCATCTGTAGTAACACCAAAAAAAATTTCTCATGGGAGCCCGAGAAAAGAAATGTCCAATATGTCAAAATTACATCTTACACATGAAATTTTCGAAATTTTATCTGTGTAATCACTATTCCCAGTCCCATGATTCATACAGTTTGCAGGGTGGCTGGCTACTTGTCAATCACTTGGTTAAAAAAAGTGGATGTCCCCACATGATATAACCACTGACTTCAGTAAGTAAAAATTTTATTAAAGCATTGTACAGTACAGATAAATGATGAAAATTGCTCTTCCAGACAAATAAATGGAACACCACTTGGAAGACAATCCAGTTTTTACACACGGAGGAGATATTAATTGGAAGAAAGAGATGACAATCATAAATAGACCTTCACCAATACATGTAATGCATCTAAAACAGTGGTACTGCAAAGAAAAACAGAATTTCTCAAGTTAATACTTATAAAAACTCAACAACCTGACTAAAGGGTCATGAAGACAACACCTACTTCACAAAGAACACCTTTTCAGCACAAGAACAGAAGGGAAAGTAGTAAGAATGTTTGTTGATACAGTTTTTGGTTGTGAACTGACCCTACTGTGCAAGGTGGTGCACTGCACAAAATATTGCCATTGCCACAGGGCTGCAAGTGGTAAAGAATGTTTTTGCCAAGGTTTTGATTGGGCAATAAAGGCCATCCTTGCGCTTCACCAAAGGTAATACACTTTGGTGATTGCACATCAAAGCAAAGTTGTGTACAAGATGTGAATAGAGAGACCTTTGATGCAAATCAGATGCGTTATACCTATTGTTCCCAACCAAAAGTCTTATTTTGCCGCCCGTTTCAATCCAACTATGCCATACCATCGATTATGACAACAAAAGGTATATAATGTCAACAAAGCCGACTCATCATACCACACTAAGGTACATGTTTACCGTTACGACTTTCATCTAAGAAAAAGCTTGCTTACATTTATTTTGAATCTGATTGTTTAAAGTTCCCGATTTGTAAAGTGAAGCCAAGAAATGCCCGTAAACATGCATTGTAAAGCAAGTCAAAAGGCATAGCTTATACAATAAACCGTTGTTTTGTTAGTTCTCATTGCTACATGACTAAATTCTAAGAGCTCCTTCTCCTTACTCTTTCTAGACTTGGCATTAATTTTGTTGCTTTCAGAAGCTATCAACAGAACAGGGAAACCTTGACATGCAAAGCTGAGAGAATTCTTAAGCATTTGCTTGGGGGACTAGTAATCAACAATGGATCAGCAACTTTATGTCCGTGTTGCACTTAAGTAAGAACCTCTGATCATTCACACCTTTTGCAGCCTCAGCTTTTCTGATGGCCTCTAACTCTGCTCGTTCTTTGGCTCTCGCAGCCTCAACCTCCCTCTCTTGAGCTGCTATGGGTTTTAGATATTCTACAAAAGTAGAAAAATTACTTCATAAGACCAGGTACTGCTCAGCAATAACTGGTACATAACGTAAGAGCTGTTTTGGAGCAAGGATTAGCACAGTCAGTAACATTACTGTGAGGCTTTCTGTGCAGGAGGTTTGTTAGTTCCTTTCCCAGGTGTGGCCTTAGAGAGAGGGGGTAAAATGAGCACACTGCTGTTGTTGGCCTCAGGTCCGTCAGTCTAATGTGTACTGTTATGAGTTACTGATTTAACATAAGGACCTTTAACTTCAAACGCTTTATTTTTACACATCCCAAGGACCAGGCTGACAAAGTTACATGTATGTCTTGGTTTTGGCTGTAGTTTTTTATGTCAGGTAAAATTTGACTTTGAATTTCTCATAATAGCACAGCAAATGGTATAATGAGTACTAGTGGCTCCTTTAGAAGATCACCTTATTTTCTCTGTTTCACTATTAAGTTTTGCCAACTTCCCAAAACAAAAATACTCAGGTACCCAACCTCCTCCCAGTGTTTGCAGAGGTTAACTACTCTGTAATAGCTAACCAATAAAACAGAAATTTACCATTTCTCTTATATCCATAGGCCAGGCCAAGCAGTAAAGCAGCATACCTTGAAAACTGTAAAACGAAAAAAACTGTTACATTCAGTTCACTAGTCTGTCATACATAATACTGAAATAAAATTGAAATCAACTGATACCAGCACAGAGTTCAATGTTGATTCAATGTAGGATGCATATTCCGACATTATTTTAAAACACTCCCTTTGTTAATTCAGACACCTTGCTGTCATGAACACGTTATAGTTATTATCTCCCTGGCACACTTTCCAACTCTCATGGTTCGGAATCGCCCGACTCACAGTTTGGGAAGTCAACTCATGGTCTCACGATTTAGCTTCCAAATCTCATGGTGAATACTTTTTATAAACTTCATGATTACTTGGTATTATTTAATATGAAATTTGTAAAAAAATTTAATTTTTTAATATTTTTAGGAAGCATGTATTTTTGTAAATTTTATTATCCGCAAACATTCTTCTTACATTAAGTGGTTAGGTTGGTAGTATTTTGAATTTTATTCTTTGTAAATATTCTTCTTATATTACATAGTTAGTTTAGTGGTATTAGTAGGCCAGCTGGAAGACCAGACACTTAAATAAAGTTCATCATCATCATCATCATGACCAAAATATTCTGCCTTTTTGGTTCGCCGTGTCTAAATACCTGGCAGGCGGGAAATGTTTTCAAAAAACTAGATACCCGGCAGTCAGAAATTTTGACCAATTTTCATGAAATAGCTTGTTCAATTCCTCTAAGAACACAAGATATTTGTCTAGCGATCTCAAGCAATTGTATATATTGCTTTAGGTTAAAAGTAGAAGTGACTGTCGAGCTTGGGCATATGGTGAAATGTCGATGTTTTCGACACTTAGAAAACTTTGAAGTTATGACACACTGAGTCAACTCCTGATGAATATCCACAGAAATTATCAATGAAACCTCACCAGAATATTAGTGTTTGTTCAGAACTGCCAAGAGATTCTAAATAGAGGTTTCGTCTCATTGTGGACAAAATGTCCGAGGTTGCATTAAGCATATTCTTTAGAATCTTGACTCACGGGTACGGTTTTCAAAATATTGCCGGGTACCTACACACTTCCTTATATGAAGCATATTTTGGAAATCTCCACGTTTGAGGTCCAAATCTCCGGGGTTTTGGAAGCCTTTTTTCAAAGACGCCAGATTTGTACAGTTTAGGGTTGAATGGTCTGCCCTGGAGAAAATCCCACTCGGTAGTTTCGACTGTGGTTCAATATCTAAGATTAACTAAAATCAGCTTAGAAATTGAACGAATCTAATTATGTACTCAAAAAACAAGAAAATAGGAAGATAACAATCAAATATACAGCCCATAAAATGCATTCAATGTAAGCTTAAATAATTGTTTTAAGCAAAAACATGATTCTCACGGAAAAGCCCTTGGCAGCTAAATTTTAACAAGCATAAGTGCTGCGGCCTCAAGATTCCCTGTAACTAAAACGTCTGATCTCATAATTTTCCATCTCTCTACGTACCTTAATTGCTGGGTTTACTTTCAAAGGCATCTTTTTCTTTCAATGGAGTCGATTTAACAACCGGGAACTTTATCCAAAACAGTCAGGATAGGCAACCTATCCGACTCACAACCAAAATGGCGACGAGGAGTGGATGAAGCCCATGATGCTTTTCCAACCTCGTTCCCAGGGTTCTCTCTCTTAGTCCTCGCCGCTGGGGACGTTTCGCTAGGAGGAACGTCTGCGACTCAGCGACAAAGGTTGTTTTAAACAGTCCGGAATATCCCTAAATTTAAGGACAGGGCCAGCTGGTCACGCGACACTTTTCAACCAATGAGAAGGCGCGCTTGTGTTTATCAACAAACAAATCAAAACATCGCCCCAGTGCTCAAAACGTTTCAAAACAACGGACGGAGTCGACGGACAGAATTACCGTACCGTACCGTACCTTACCGTACTCGTCTAGGTTTCACATTTAATATTTCAAAGAAAACATTTCATGTAAGAGAATCAGAGCATTATTCATTGCAAGGAATCATTGGGGTGTTCGAACTGTTTCCGGACCGATCGCAGTGGTCGTGGCTTCACTGGCATGGCTTGCAAGATTTTTGATAGAAACAAAATGGTCCCGTGTAAAAATAGCCTTATAGAGAGTGTGAAAATTTGTTGAGATCATACAAAACAGGATCGGTACTACCTATTAGCTTCTACAGGACAAGAATCAAAGAACCAGTCGTCATAACAAGAGTAAAAAGTAGTTCAAATTTATTAATATTTCTTGTTTGTTTTTTGGTGTTGTTTCGTGTTGACTTCAAGCATCTGGTGCTTTCCTTGCTTGCTGTAGTACCTGCAATGTTTTAATTTGATCCCAGATTCAGTGCATGTTCAATGACTAGCGAAATACATCATTTACACTTGAAATTTGCCTTCTTTCTTTGACTGTTTTTTAACGGTGGATGAACATTTGGAGAATCCAGCAACATTAAATCTTTCCAGATTTGGTGAATTTCAGAAACAAAGCCGTTAGTATCTACCTTGCGCTTATGATCTTCAATTTCGGCAAAGTGAGGCGAGATGTTGGACGTGAATATCCATAAGACTAATAAAGTTGTTTTGGCCCTGAAAAGAAAAAAGGCAAAGGCTCGTACTAATGCGAAAAAAAGTAATAACACGGCTCTGTGAGAAACCCGGGAATGGAAAACGTACGTGATTTGGACCTCGGAATTCAAAACTGGTCTTTCTAGGTTGTCTACCATCCCCACATTCAACATGATAAAAGTTAATCGATATGACAATCAAGGACAAATATCTAGAACTTCGTAAAAAAAAAATCTGTGAATCGAAAAAATAATAGATACTTGTTCACCTACCTTGAAAACCGACCAAAATCTCGCCCATACATAGGGTTGTTTAAAAGAAGAAATAAGCCTGAATATTTCACGGACACTTCCAATATGCCTTCCGATACGCGTCCACTTAAAAAATTATGCCTCATGAAAAGTCTTAAAAAATGCCTGAGAGCCTCCGATGAATTTTTGACTCCGTCCGTTGTTTTGAAAATTTTTGATCACTGGGGCGATGTTTTGATCTGTTTGTTGATAAACACAAGCGCGCCTTCTCATTGGTTGAAAAGTGTCGCATGACCAGTTGGCCCTGTCCTAAAATTTAGGGATATTCTGGACTGTTAAAGGGGCTATGTCAACCTATTATCAACCTCGTCCCCAGGGTCTTCTCGCTTTCCAATTTAAAAAAACATTCCAGAAATTTTGGTTAGGAGTTTTCGTTCGGTAAAAACGGTACGGGTCGTTTACCATTTGCCTAAGATTTCTGGACAGAATAAAAAATATTATAAAGCTTGTCAGCAATTCGATTTTGGACACAAATTAGCAATTTTTATGTCTTCTCCCCATTTAAATACAAGGAACAGCTATGTGTTAGGAATATTTCCAGAGTTGGAGAGGAATGACAGCAGCATGAACATTGGCACAATCCCCCATTTGCTGTGAGCCCGCCATGTTTGTTGTTGTCAGTCATAGTGTTGAAGCGATTGCGCTCGGCCAATAGCCAAGAGACCTGACACTATAGTGAAACCTCTATAAAGCGGACCGCCAATTAAGCGGCACCCTCTATTAAGTGGACACTAAGCCGGGTCCCGAAATTAACGTCCTATATTTCCCTTTGTAACGAACCCCTATTCAGCGGACACCTCTATTAAGCGGACGCGGACTGAATTGACAATAGCAGTATTGGATTGCGTCCTCGGAATACGTATTGAAGTCAGTTAATGTTTTTCCATTAACAAACAAATTAAAGTTGGTAATGAAAAGTAATGAACTTCAACTCTGGATAGCTTCTTTAACAACATGCAACTTTATCACAGTACAGAGTAACCGTTGAAAGTTGATCGTTAACAAACATTAATTGCGCGATTTTTACAACCTCTATTAAGCTGAGCGGACACTTGGGAAGGTCCCGAAGGTGTCCGCTTAATAAAGGTTTCACTGTAGTACGAAACTCAAGAAACTTGTAAATGGTAAACGTTTTCCATTCGGAAAGTCCCAACCGGGAAAACGGGACTACCTTTTCAGAGTTTCCGTTTGTCCCGGGAATTTTCCAGAGAGACGAACCAAAAAAGTCTACCATTTACATCCCAACAGGAATTTCCAGGAATTTGTGGTAAATGGTAAACAACCAAAAATTCCATACTGTATTTGTATTTATTTATTTGCTACACGATTACAATAATTACAAAGAAATGGTAAAAAAATGTAGGAAGAAATGGCGAGAAGGCCTAAAGGAAACTATGGAGCTTATGTTAATTAGGCCTCCTCAATTACAATTTTTCGAAGATGGCATAAAAATTACGGCGACGGATACAAAATAATATCAGGTGGAAAATTAAACTAATCAATATTACGGAAGTTTACAAATAATGTTGAATATTAAAAGGCTTTTTCGCAAGATTTCTGTTGGAGTATACTAATAATTATTAGAAATAAATGCCTTAAGTGCTCTTTTAAAGGAAAAAGGTGAGGAAGCGATGATGATGTTGGTGTTTAAGGTGTTGTAAAATTTAGGTCCTTGATAAAAAACGGAAAATTGTTTGGTTCGAGTACGACAGAAAGGCAGACGAAATTTACACGACTTTCTTGTATTATACGAATGAATTTGACTTTATAAAGTAAATTTACAATGAAATTTTAAAGGTAGAGTATGTTTTTGATAGGAGTACATGAATAAACCTATGAAACCTAGTTGTATTAAGTATATATCATGAAATTTTAAGACACCAAGATTTTGAAAGATTGGATCAGTATGTGCATCGAAAGTGGTTTTAGCTATAGTTCTGATCACCTGTTTCTGTAAAATCTCAAGACGAATAAGGTTAGTTCTGTAAGTGGAGGCCCAAACTAAGTTGCAGTAAAAAAAGTATGGATAGACTAGGGAAAAATATAGTGTTTGTAAGGTTTTCGTAGATAAATAGAAACTTGATTTACAAATAATTCCTGTACATTTAGAAACTTTATTGGCGACATGTGAGATTTCAGATTTCCAATTTAAATGTTCGTCCATGATTACTCCCAAGAAAACTGTTTCTTTTACTTGATCAATTTTTTGGCTGTTAATTAAAAGTTGAATAGTTTGATTTGTACGCTTTTGGCATGGTTTAAGGTAGCTCGACTGGATTTTTTTAGGGCGTAACCTCCCAAGTTTGAGCCTTAACTACGTCGGCATGAGTAAAGATATCGAAAAAAGGTTACCACAACTGTATTACATAAAGATGAAAATTTCTTATGATCTGGGTTTTATTGCAATCGGAGTCGCCATGGCAACGTAATGACGCCATTACGTTTTTCATTTATCCTTGTGTTTCTCTGTACCAGGAGTTTTTTGAAGAAATCGCTTAAGGGAGTATGTACCTGCCATAATTGCCTCCAGTATGGCAAAGTTTAAAGAAATTCTATGAGAGCGTTTTCGAAATATTTTGAAATGCAGTTTTAAGAATCATAAAAACAGTGAAATAGCATGCTAGCCGCTCAATTCGCTAATATTTAAAGAAAATGATCAGCTTTGGGAACGCGGCTTCATCTCAGGGTGGATTGATTCCATTGAAAACTGCATACAAAAAAAGAGGGGAATTGCTCTGGGCGATCGCTAGTAAGAAGAATTTTATTAACTTGCATTCAGCTGCTTTTGATACAGTTTTTGGAGGTAATTTGGTCCATGCCTAAGAATTTCGCATTTTTCCAAAAACCGCGCGATAAATTTTTTTATAAATTCGACAATTCCGAGATCAATCGTCAAGAAATATTCCCTGCAAGTTTCAAGAACATTGAAAACAGGGAACGCTTTTAAATAGGGACTCAAACATAACCAATTTTCCCCCCAGATTTTGTGTTTACAAGTGAGCGTCTTCATTATTCACTGGCATTGTTTTCAAGTTTCATATGCACGTGCACAACTAGCAAAAAATATACATTTGCATCAAAAAGAACTCTCGATTACTTTCCGAAGAAATATCCGGTATATGCTAATAATTGGCTTGTCGTCACAGATGGCAGTGAGAGCCGAAACGGTGAACGTCTCGGCTCATCGTGTAGGAGGCAATACTTAATTATCTTACTCGGGTTATAACATCACAGAAACTCTCACAAAGAGTTGCTCTGATGTTATAATGTATCACTAACCTCTTTACCCGGTAATTAGCATAACGTTGCCATGGCGACTCCGATTGCAATAAAACCCAGATCATAAGAAATTTTCATCTTTATGTAATACAGTTGTGGTAACCTTTTTTCGATATCTTTACTCATGCCGACGTAGTTAATGCTCAAACTTGGGAGGTATCAACCCCAAAAAATCCAGTCGAGCCACCTTAAATACAATGAATTTGGGTTTAATGAAAGCCTGTTAGCTCTAAACCATAATGACAACTTATTTAGCTCAGCGTTCAGTATATTAGTAAGGCAGTCTTTATCCTTGTGAGACACAAAAACGTTTGTATCATCGGCAAATAATATCAGTTGTAATATTGTTGACGTGTTGATTATATCGTTGATGTAGAGCAGAAAAAACAAAGGCCCTAGTATTGAACCTGGGGAACGCCACACATGATATTAGCACGAGATAAAACATAACCATTGTATTCTACAAACTGAAGTCTGTTGGAAAAACAGCTCTTAATCCATTTCAGAGCCAAGCCACGTATACCATAGTGTTCAAGTTTATCAAATAAGATGGAATGATTGACTGTATCGAAAGCTTTCGAGAGATCTAGAAAAACTCCAACCGCTAATTCACCACGATCAATAGCAGATGAAATTTTTTCATGCAAATCAATCAAGGCAAGCGTCGTAGAGTGGTTTTTTCCTGAAGCCGAACTGGTTATCACAGAGAATATGTAAATTAGTTAAATAATCATACAAGCGATTATAGATGATTCTCTCTAAAAATTTTGAAAAGCTTGGTAGAACCGACGTAAATACTGATGACGTAAATCAATGTTTACATAATAAATCCGGTAGTCATGGGGTTCCAAATGCAAATTTGTTCAATTTTAAGTTTCTCCCCGTCGATTTTGGTAGTCTTGCATTGTGTTCATCTGCGAACGAACTTCAGCAAATCTCAAATGCATCTTCTAGAGAAGAATGTAATAAAATATTCCACGAATATATTATTGATTGTTTTGCTATGGATTCATCGCGTTTGAATTAGACCTTTTTGGCCTTTTGTCGGAGAAAATAAATGTCAAATTTCACAAGAATTGTGATTATACAGGTAAAATTCAAAAAATTTAATGTGTAAGATGTAATTTTGTCCTATTTGACTTTCATTTTCTAGGGCTCCCATAAGAAATTTTTTTGGTGTTACTACAGATGATTTATTACATCTTTAGCGCTTGAAAAATGTAAGAAAGAATGCAATATGCCTTAAATTATTCTGGTACAAGATTTTTGTCCGCTGAAAATCAAAATTAATCAATGTCCTGGTGGATTCCGTTTTAAAACCATGTGACTACTCCGTCATCCAATCAGCGGTTCTGACCGGATTCCGGACAGATTTTACGTCATCAGAGTCGCAGACGTTCCTCTTCGCGAAATGTCCCCAGCGGCGGGGAGCGGTGAGGAACGGCTGTTTTCGCAGGCTACCTCTACAGTGGAACCTCTTTATCTTGTACTTGGTTTTATTCTACGTCACCCATGAGTTTTCCAGGTTCTTAATTAAGCTACGTGCATTCCCGTAAGCAGACAATTCCCGTAGGCGACCGGCCGCGGACACTTTTAGGGTTTACCAGTTAGATTTTACCTTTATTATACACACTGAGAAATACTCACCAAAAAGCTATGTCGTAAAATTTCATACGCAAATGAGTTCTAGTCAATCACACGTGAAAAAAAAAGCTCTATTCCCGCGTGTTCTACGTGAGCCAGGAAGCATTCTAAAAGTATGTTTCCTCTTAAAACCTCCCTAAGATCTAGAGTATGCCGTGCTCGTGTGGCAGTCTATACTAGGTTATCTTTCTCAAAAATATAATCTGTACAAAAAAGAGCGCTTTCATAAGATAATTTTCGCATGGGCTGGTAACTACTCTGATGTTCTGGAGATAGCGCAAGTGGAGACAGTCTTACAGGTAGGAGAGAACAGTTATGTACGCAGTAAACGAGATAAATAAAGGACCTTCTCTTCACCATCTTCTACCGGCACGCGCTAAAAATGGCTGCCCAAACACAATAAATCAGATCGGTTATACTTTTATAAGGACGTTACCACCTGAAGAACTAAGCGGACTTAAGTTTCTTTTAACTCGTCCCTACTTCCAACAATGTGTATATATGTGTTTCAGTTGGTTAAGATTCCTTATCCCAATACCCGTGAAAATTACGCCTGATCTCAACTTATGTCCCTTAAAACATGTTATCAAAGTTAAAATGATTTCAAGATTGAAAAGTGAGAGAATACTCTGTAATGCATAGAAAGGTTTTTCCTCTGTGAAAATTTCAAAACCATTTAGAAATTACTCTAATTTAGCAAAACAAACAAAGAATAGTTTTACAAACTGATTTGTGACTCTATCGCCTTAGCTTTTGGCATCCCGCATGATCATCGCCAATTACTACGCTTTTAAAAGACGAAAATGTTTTCCACATAGTTTCAAGAAATTTGTTTCCCTTCAGAGTAAAGGGGGAAACCAGAGAAATTATGAACAAGCTCCTTGAATAATGCATCAACCTCGTTCCCCTGTGATACGAAAAAAGATGGCCCATAAAGGCTCGTAAGTATTTCTCCGTGCAAGGGTGTACAAAGTTTGTTAATTTTGTTGTTGTTTTTCACTGAAAACACGAGAGCCTGGTTCTCAATAGCCTGAATTTTATCCGATTACTTCGAGTCGTTATTACTCCCTCAGTAACGTCTGAATCGACCGGCCGTTAATGCCGTCCAGTGACGTCACTACTCCTTGACCTTTGCTTTAATTCGTGCAAAAAGCAAAACACGATTTTCAAGTGGCAAACCGAGAAATATCGTTTGGAAATGTCTGCATGATACAGAACTGCTTTATTTTTTTCGATTGTAATTCATGTTTAACGTTCAAACTATCAACTGCATGCGGTACAACTCTGAACCGGTTGTACTAAATTCGAAAAACAAACTCGGTCGCAATCACGCAATGAAATAAGCACACACACGGAACACTTAGTTCAAAAACACAATGCTTTGCTTTAATTGAAAAGAAGCTATTTGGTCCTTAACGAAGAAAAAAAAAGGAGACAACAAGAAAAGAAAAAGCTAACAGAATCATCACACTTGACGGTAAAATAGCAAGAAGGTCGAATTATAACATTGATCTCAGAAAACTTCACGTAAACAAAATCACCGGCCGCCGAAACCACAAAGCGGCTCTGAATGAAAAACCTACCGACTCTCCGCGATGATTCTTCAGATTCTATACCTGCCAACTCTCACGCCTGCGGGTTGAAAACTTCGTTCAATTCTCACGCCTGATTGAAAAATGTGAGTTGTTGCCGTTTGCTGTTTCCAAAAATATGTTAACTCAGACCAATGGGTGTAAAATGAATAAATTCTCTGTTTTGTGGATAAGATTTTCTCGAAAGCCTTCGGCAGACTTCGGACGTCTTCGGACGTCTTCGAAAGACTTCGGACTTCTTCGGGAATCTTCGTTCGTGTCGTTTTCAAAAAACCCAACGATAAAAATCTCACGCCTACATCTCGGGCATGTATAAGATTCTTCATTCGCAAATTTAGCGTTTCATTTCAAATGACAAGATAAAGATTAAGCTTAGAAAATGTTTGAACAAACCGAACGAATTTTTGAATATCAAATAATTATTTATTCATAATTATGCGAATGTTTGAACAATCAACCAATCAAAATCACTACCCGGTTTTCGGGTAGTGAGTGACGTCACTGGACGGCATTAACGGCCGGTCGATTCAGACGTTGTTGAGAGGAGAAAATGACTCGAAGCAATCGGATGAATTTCAGGCTACGTTCTCAATGGTCGTAATCAAATCTTAATTCTCCGCCTAAGATTTTCTTTAACTTAGTCTGGCGAAAGGTTTAAAACAGCTGAAATAATAAAATTAGAATATATATTATCTGCTTTGCAGTTTAGCCATTCGATAACGATTGGTGAAGTTTCCACCACTTCTTTACATAAACATCTGCTTCGGGCTCCAGTTGATTTGTGGATTCATTAAATATGAATTCCCAAGGTTTTCTCTCTAGTGTTCCGAGAAAATGAACAACTTTAACTTCATCCTTATATCTAGAAGAAAAAAATATATATATAAAACACGTTCCCTTTTAATTTAAAGGCAACGAAAGGGACAGGAAAAACGCCAAGCGATTGTGAATCTCACGAGGACTGATTTTTTACCTTTACTTATGAAGTGAAAAGTAAGTGTTACTAGAGAGGTTAAGCATTACGTTTACGTCTAACAGCAAACGCGAATTTGTACCACGTGACCAAGTTTCCCCTTTACTTTTCGGTTACTGTCCATTATTTCAACACATAAATTAGTAGTTTCACGTAGTTTTTTATCCATAAGAATTGTTTTGAGCTGTTTTTATTACTTATGTTCTATTTTGAGAAATTCTCAACTTGAATCTAACGTTTGCCGTTTGCCTTTTACCTGATGCTTAAACTCTCTACTATAAATCCCAGAAACTAAAATTTTATATTTTCGACGCTTTGCACCCTGGGCGAGAGAGTAACTATAGAGGCAAGAAAGAGCCTTGTGAACAAAAACCGAGAAGTAACGGTACTGTGTTTCGGTTACCGAAAGGAGGGGGAGGGGAGTTACCGTTAGAGCCAGAAACTTTCATGTGCGGTTTCTGGTTTTAGTCGATTCTTTTCTTTCCACTTCGAAGATGGATCGGCCTGTAGCCGACCCCGAAGTATCTCCAACGATACAAATCATAGCAAGCGAAAAAAAAAAAAAAAAAAAACACTGGTACTCAGAGTAGTAGGGAGAAGACATGTTTGGTTCATCGTGAAAAGGACGTTACAAAATGCTATGCCTACTGGGAAAAGAAAGTAGTCACCTACAATCTGATGTCATACCTGTCATATGCACTTCGATAAATTTTGAATGTTGAATATGCCATATTGTAAGTATAAGGAAGACGCCTAATCGGGACAGTGCGCCAAGAGTTACCATAAACATCATTTAACAATCCTTGATCGGTACCTAGAAACAAAAGAAGTTTTACACACTCCGGTTTTGACTTTACATTCCTTACCAGCAAATTGCTGTTAGAGGGTGGTATGCCTGTGGTATCTCGACATTGTGCACGAACGGAAAAGGAGAGGGAAGACATGTTGTTCGGAATAATGCTGTGTTGGTGAACATCTGCTGTGTTGTCTCTGATCCGACATCTTTAATATAACATGGTACCAGGGATGTAAAGAGCCACGAAACTGCTGCTTGAAGTCTCTCGGACAGCTGTGGGACGTGTTTGGAGTCTTAAAGTGGAGAAATTGGGGAAATCTGATCCGAAAATACTGATCAAACATCTTCGCGCCAAAACTACAATCGACTGGATCGTGGTAAAATCTGTTTGATTCTTTGGATTTTCTCTGTGTTTTCGGGACTCTCTAGAGGAGAAAATCCGATAATTTCTGTCTTCTGCTTTTGCTGTAAAACATGTCGGAAGAAGGTGCCGAAGCTGCCGCAGCTGCCCCAGCTCAAAACTCAGGATTTTTTTACTGGAAACATAACGAAATTTTAAAGACCGAAGTTCAACCCTCGCCTTGAAAATCGCCCGGAGGCACTAAGAGCCTTTAAGAAAGAGTGTGGTTACATCTTCAAAGGAAGCCTTGTTAACATCTCAACGAATGAAAATGCTTACTGGTACAAGACTGGCTCGGACCTGAAGGTTAAAAGATTTACGATAGTTTAGATTGGTTCGAAGGTGAGGATACGACTTCGATCTAATGTGGACTAAGTTGGAGAGAGCAGTATCGGGATATCAGTTCTGGGATCACTCGAAGACCTCGGGCCAAACATTTGACGAATTCTCAACTCAGCTACGAACACTTTCTCTGTCTTGCGAATTTGCTAAACCAGATAACATGATCAGATACAAAATAGTATTGTCCACTGAAAATACTGCGCTAAAAGAGCGGCTGCCACGCGAACCGAAGCTAGACCAACAGAAGGCCGTAGATATTTCTCGATCCTCGTAGAGTAGCGAAAACTTTATACCATCTATACCCCTGTTGGGGAATTTTCCCTCCCAAGTCCACGAGGGGGATTTTGAAAAGTAGTTTACCGGAAGAATTACGCATGGCTGCTTGTTGAACTGTTGCGCTTGTATACCGTTCTGTGTCAGGAGCCCATAACCCGGAGCGTTCAACTGCCATAAATTCGTGCAACGGCGTTTTTACAAGTGAGTTTATTTTTAGATAAGCTTTTCCCGCGGTAAATAACTGTTCCACGAGGTCAATTCCTGCATTTGATCGCCGTTTACACTGTTAGTAGCTCGCTTGGACCTTTTCACAGTCGGCTATTTCGAAGATGCTTTCGATTTAATTCCATTTGCGTGAATTATGCGTTGTCGTCGATGAAGTAGACGTCCTGGCTAGGTTTTGCAAATCTTCTTCTGAACTGCTAGTTTCCGTGTAAATACTGAAATTGTCGTTTGAAGTACTGTAAGAAGACTCCTCTGAAGATTCCTCACCTGCGTCCTCTATGTTTTTTTTCAGTGTGAAGGAGTTGTTCTAGTTACGTATTAAAAGTTTATCATTGATGACGCAATTGCTAGTGATTGGCTTTTCGAAAGCAATTCGCGGGAAAAGCTTATCTAAAAATAAACCTACTTGTGAAAACGCCGTTGCATAGGCGCAGTATGGAAGTTAGACGCTCCGGGTTATGAGCTCCTGTCTGTGTTCACAAATGAGTTCACCGGGTTTATGACCTAATAAACCCCCGGGGCGTCTTTTTAATTTTAGGGGTCCAGGAGGGGGCATTTAATAGATAGGAAGCCTTGAAAAGAGAGGGGCCTTTATTGCCACAACTGTAACAAGCTCAACAAAACTAATCTGCTTTCGGCGAAAATATCAAGGTCCACCCCATCAATTGATACTACTAGGCCGTCTAGAGATCCATGTCGCTCTTTCAAATCTGGCCAACATCCATGTCTGTTCCCTAACCCATTGTTACTGTATTGTTATTGTGTTGCCATCGTTAGTCTATCTTTACTTTAAACTAGTAGTATAGGAATCTCATGAGCGTGAGCAGGAATACATTAACGCCGATGACGTCATAGGCTATTGTCCTCATCTCATGAATAAGATGCGGTGGATTTAATTAAGTATACTGGTTTGACCGGTTTGTCAGGTTCTATTTTTAGCCTGGTTGATATAACTGGTTTATTTTTGTTTTATGACATAACCTATTGTCTTGAACTCATGAATAAAATGCGGTGGAATAAATTAGCGTCTATGTCGTAATACTCTATTTGAAAGACGCTCATTGGCTGTCTCGTTTCATTTTTATCGTTTTCCCTCCTCCTCCTCCACCTCCTCATTTTTATCGTATTTCCTCGAAAAGGCCAAGAGGCTAACATCAGGCCTATATGGCCAAACTCAAATGTGATGGTCTGATTTTAGCCTCTTGGCCTTTTCGAGGAAAACGATAAAAATGAGGAGGTGGAGGAGGAGGAGGAGGAGGAGGAGGAGGAGGAGGAAAAACAATGAAAATGGGAGGAGGAGGAAAAACAATAACTATGAGGAGGAGGAGGAGAGGAGGAGGAGGAGGGAAAACATTAAAAATGAGGAGGAGGAGGAGGAGGGAAAATAATAACAATTGTCGAGGAGAGAATAAAAACATTGAGGAGGGAAAATAATAAAATTGTGGAGAAGGGATTGAGGAGAGAGATAAAATTGAAAAGGGAGAGAGGTAAGTAAAACATTGTATTTCGCACTAAAAGAGCTAGTTTGTCTTTGCCCTCATTAATATGCACGATTTGCCCGCCAAAAGTCAGTGAACCGGAACTAGGACAATCACAGCAGCAGGAAATAGGACTTGCATAATTACATTACGCCTCCGTGATTTTAAGTCACAGACAAGTTTAGAATGCTTCGTCAAACGAGACAGCCAATGAGCGTCTTTCAAATTCCGGTCAACCAATCAAAACAACTATGACATCATAGTACCCCGGAATACATATGACATCATCTTCCGAAAATAACTAAAACCTGTCAAACCGGTTATACCAACCATGACATCATCCATCTAAAAATAGCACATGACCTTATCTTTATGAGATACCACAGCATTTTATTCATGAGATTAGGACAATAACATATGACTTCACCTAGTTAATTTATTCCTGCGCACGCTAATGAGATTCCTGCGCAAAAAACCGGCGTAAAACATCCCTCCCGGTGGTGGTGGTGGTGGAGGGAAAACAATAGAAATTTGGTGGCGGTGGTGGTGGTGGTGGTGGAGGGAAAACTATAGAAATGTGGTGGCGGTGGTAGTGGAGGGAAAACAATAGAAATGAGGAGGAGGAGGTGGAGGAGGGGGGAAAACAATCAAAATGAGGAGGAGGAGGGAAAACAAATCCGCATTTTATTCATGAGTTCGAGACAATAGGTTATTACGACATAGGTACTAATTTATTCCCCTTCATTTTATTCATGAGTACAAGACAATAGAGTATTACGACATAGACGCTAATTTATTCCACCGCATTTTATTCATGAGTTCAAGACAATAGGTTATGTCATAAAACAAAAATAAACCAGTTATATCAACCAGGCTAAAAATAGAACCTGACAAACCGGTCAAACCAGTATACTTAATTAAATCCACCGCATTTTATTCATGAGATGAGGACAATAGCCTATGACGTCATCGGCGTTAATGTATTCCTGCTCAAGCTTATGAGATTCCTGCTCAAAAAAGGGGCCTAAAACATCCCTCCTATACTACTTAAACTTGACATTGAAAATGATGAAATTCTCAAAGCCTTATTAGTCAAGCAAGGAATTGAATGAATTGAATGATTTTGCTTCTTTTTGCTAATTCCTAGTGTTTTGGAGTAGGGGGAATCTACTGGACGGGGGGGGGAGTTATTAGAAAGCGGCATCTAATAGAATTTTAACAGCCTAGAGGGGGTGTTGATCATGGATAAGAGGCGTTTATTTGGAAGTGGGCGTTTAATAGGTCATTTACGGTAATTTAATTGGAGAGAGTTATCAGCTTACACAAGGTAAAGTCCCCAAGCTAGAGGATTAGTCAAGAAACGATGATTCTTAAATCATACCATCCCAGCTTGGCTTTGACTTTGCTTCCTTTATTAGCCTCGTAAATGTAGCCATCGATGGTTCTATCACCAGAACTCCACTATTAAAGACGTCTGGCCACAAATCTTCAGGCCCAGCTGAAAGCTCATCACGTTGAAATAGATCGTCGATATTCTTCAGAACCAAGACATCAGTGTCCAGGTAGACTATCTTGGTGTAAGATGTCAGAGTCCAGATGTTGAGTTTTGTAAACGTTTTTGTAATCCAAGGTCTCAATAAAAGGTTTGGATTCTGGTCATTTTGAGGTATGTTCAGCTCAGGTCTCATCACAATTTCGTCAAAGACACCAAAATTTTTAAACCTGGGATTAAAAAATTTACTTCAATTTTTTTCAGCGCTGGGGGGGGGTGGGCTACTCCCGTATATTAGCCATATAAGTATGTAGACATTACTCATTTTTGTTTATACAATGACGTAAATGCTACGCGCGCTGTGATTGGTCGTTGCCCATGATCTATTAGAGTATAGATACATGGATGTCGTCACGGGAAACTTGTTTTGTTGTTGTTGTTGTTCAACATGGCGCGCGGTTTTGAAAATGTTTGTGAGATTATTTCGGATTAAGGCAAGTAAAAGCCTCCAAAAAAGTTTAGCAGGAGCTATTTACAAAGAAGAAAAATGGAGAAACGGAGACAAAAAAAGCTCTTGACTATTTGAGAATGCCTAAACCACAAAAAAATCTTCCCTACAGTTGCCATCGTGTGTCATCGCCACGGGAGACTCGCTGTTTTGCAAAATGTTTTTGCCATTATTCTGCTTTGTGCAACAAAAGACGTTGAAAAACGTTTCGAAGAAACTGTATACAAGTAAAATAAAGAAAAAGCAGAGACGAAAAGTAGCGCTAGGGACTTTAAAAATTCCTAAACTAGCACAAATCCTCGAAAAGTCAAGCAGTACGAGGCAGGTATGTGTATCGGTCGTTTTTCGTTTCTGATCATTGTATAAAACAAATAGATTCCATGTTGCCTTGGGTCTGTTTAGTAATAGATCACAGAGGACGTCAAAATGTGGTAAAAACATCAGTCTGCCTGCGGCTCGTGTGCCACTTCTTTGTTTTTAACACATTTTGACGTCATCTGTGATCTGTTACCGAACAGACGTACGGCAACATGAAATGTATTTGTTAACTGGAATCGGATACGGGTTTCGAAGGTATTTGTCGCTTCAAAGAGTAACATGCGAATTCAAAATGGATTTCTGTTGACGTTCTAATCTAAATAATTTCTGCTTCCTGTGCAAAGATGTATGTCGCGTTTGTAACCCCTGTTTTTTTGGTCTGAAAACGGGTTTGTGAACTGGTATTTTTTTATTTGGAGTACCGGGCAGCACAATACCACCAAGAATTGTCAGCAGTACCCTCCGGATTTCAGCTTCAATGCTTCCAAGATGTAACGTACCACAACGTGACGCGTGTAATAGGGATAAAAACGTGAAGATTCTCACTGAGCTCAATTTTTTTTTTCGTGACTGAAGCTTACTGTTTCTCACTGTTATGAACTGAAGAGTCAAATTTCCCCTCCAAGTGAAGGCCAATCCTAGAAACCTCACCTTGAAATAGAGACTACCCCCGGAGTACAGATAAGGACCATTGGCTTAGTTGTTTGCACTTTTTTCAAAGATAAAGCTGCTACCAGGGCTCGCTCGGCATATTTGTCATCTGTAGCCACAAAAGCAAATGCTTCTCGTTTGATAATTCTCAAGTGAGGAGCTAAAATGTATTAAGACAAGTAAAATATACACTATCAAAAGAGGATAATCATAACACAATAATATGAGAAAACACGGTGATAGGTGATTTGTTTATTGAAAGGATAATTCGTTCCCTAGTTTAATAATACGAGTGACAGAAGGACTCATTTTGAAGCGCAGCTGTGCTATTGTCGCACACGTGCTGCGCCCGTCATGAACTTTCCACGGCTTATTTGGCATGAAGTCTACTTTCCAATTAAATTGTCCTATTAACACTGAAAACATGGCTTGTACTCGGTTAGTGTTCCAATCCAGTTACGTACCATTCAATGATTACTTTCTTTGTTTTGCCTTTGAGAGTTCTATAAATGGTTTTAAGGACGGCAAGGAAGAAGAAACGGCCTTTAAAAAGGTTAATTTTTACAGAAACCGCGATGCTGTGTTGGTGGTGTTGGTAGTGTGGAAAAGGGAGGGACATTTGATAAAGTAAATTAGCCATCGCTGAGAGACTGACTAAGCTGACGCTCCGAGGGACAGCCCAACGTCAGAGCAAATTGCCCGGACGAAGCAGGACTGGCGGCGCTTCGCAGGTGTAACGGGCTTCTCAATCTCTCGGTGGAGACCAATTTACTTTATCAACAAAGTTAATAAAACCGGATTGTCGACGGAAAAATTACGTTCTTTCCAGCTTATTTATCTTCTGCGTTCATTAAAGTACAGAAAATATGACTTCTTATGGGAGGGACAAGTTTTTTTTACCAACCTTGCAGAAGTAACAAACATAAAAAGAAAATGAAAATCGCTAGGAACAGGACTTGACAATTTGAAATTCTCATGTTAAATCTGCAACTTAAAAATATATGAATTTAACTTTATTGCACTTATCAGAAACCCATTAGATTTTGTTTCTTGTGCAAACAAGAAGCAAGAACATAGGCCCAAATATTTAAACGTAGTTTAGCCAGTGTTTAACAAAACCGCGTTCTAAGTCATTTTCAATTTGCCCGCCGATTTTATCTACACCTCCTTTATTGTGAACAGTTTTATGAAAGCACATAGAGAAGACTAGAAAAGCATTTATCTTCTTAAAACAACCCACCAAAGGAGAGATCTGGAGGTTCAAAGATTCGTTAAACCGCGGCTTAAGTTAGACCTTGTTTAAATATTTGGCCCTTGGAATTTTAAAACTTAATACAATTCTACCCGTTGAACTAAAATGACACCATTGATTATCCACGGTCTGTTCTGGAATCAAGAAGAATTCAAACCTTTCTATCTGTTGCTGATTTTGGTTAGTATTCACGTTATTAAATTTAATTTAAAATAGATAAAATTATCCAGGATGTGGAAACTTGCATGAACGTTTACGTTAAAGCACCTTGACGTAACCACTACATAAAAAAAAACTGTTTCCGGATTGTAACGAGCCAGTAGTGGTATAGGAATTAACCTGTGGATTTACTTAAATTTTGTGTGGAATACAACAACTACAAAAAGCTTTATTTGCAGAACCATAGAAGTACATACAGTATTGCAGTAATAACACCGATGACGTCATAACTATAGTCGCAGCCTTTACGCGCTATAGTTTTTATCACACAAACTTTATTCTAGAACTTCTACAACTGGTGAAGGGAAACAAGTGAACCGATGTGAAGTATAACGGTACTGAAAAATAACAATTAAACAAATACAAAGTCAAGATAAAACAACCTACAAACTGAACGAAAGCAATAAGGCAAACTGGAAATGCGAATGAAACAAACGAGATACTTACAAGACGATAGCGAGATAAGGACGAAAAACTAGGACGAGCAAAAACCCAAACATTAAACTGTAAACTGGACCAAGCGCACAAACAACAGCACTAAAGTCGCGAACACGAAAATAACTAAGAACGCGGCGAACATAAAAATACTATAAAGGTGACGGAAAACATTCCTGGCGCTTACAATAACCTTTTGTCTTTATCTCATTAATAAACGCGGGGGAATCTCATCAAGATAAGTTCATGTGATATTTTGGTAGTTTAATCGGTTTGAAAGGTTTTTGCTATTTTAGATGGATCTTGTTATAGTTTATTTAAAATTATGTTTGTCATGTCCTATCATCAGCAGTTATTTGACTTTTGTAAAATGGACTGTAAAATGGGTACTGAGCAGTCTTTAAACACAGTAATAGAACTTGATAACTAACGTATGATGAGGAGGACCACAACTCTCTCAAATGAAAAAAATTTTGTGACGTACCCGGATCAACAATTTTTAAGCTGATAGAAATCAATTATGATCTTTTGACCGCGGAGGAATGAGAATGATTGAATTTTTTTTTCTGCGGAGCAGAATTTTCTCCAAGTTTAAAATGTCTGATAATTAACTGGACTGCCTCAAGGAAGCACTGAACATTATCAATTATCAACCTAGCAACCCAGAGGGCGTTGCGTGATCCATAAAACATGTTTCGTAGAGTCTGTTTAAAGATTGATTCTGTTCTTGTTTATACTGCAAGCAACATATGCCTTTTGGACTAAACTTCGGATAGGGAAGAAGAAGACCCGTCCGACGAAAACAGGAACTTTGAGAATTTCACACACGAGTTCATCTCATAGTCTCATTGGCGAGGGGGCAAGTAAGCCGCGAAGCTTCGAGAACGCAAAGCTTTACCGGGAGCTTCAAAAACCAACTTGAGAGAAGTAGAGAACTGGGCAAATTACTTACTAGAGCAAGGTTTACTGCGATGATCATTCTTCACTTTCATCTACAACCGCAGTTCAAAAATGAATTATTTCATATACTTCACATCATTTCACTCCTCACGGCAGATATGAACTCAATAAATTGACCTCGCTCCCAATGTGTGGCTTCATAGCTCAGTTGGTAGAGCAACGCACCGGCAACGCGGAGGTCACGGGTTTGAATCCCGTTGAAGCCCTGATTTTTTTTCAGGCTTCCTCTTTCCAATTGCTTAAATTCGAAAATTTACTGCGATGATCATTCTTCACTTTCATCTACAACCGCAGATCAAAAATGAAAAAATGAATTACCTACTTCATTTACTTCACATCAAGGTTTAGTGACTTAGCATCCTAGACCTTACAGTTGTTCTCAATGTGGTCCAGAGTTTTTGTTTTTTGTTTGTATCTGTACTATTAAATTCGTGCGTGATTGAGTGATTTCTGTGTCTCCGCCCATCGTGTACAGACGCCCCTTCCACCCTCCCGCAAAAAAAGTCGGTGAGAGAGTACGTCTGTGAATCGGCGTCCTTAACCGTATTCCGGTATACATTTGCATAATTTAGTTTGTTTTCTTCTGACAGTTGAAAACTTGTTGACAGAACAACACGACTCTGGACTCTTGTACCCGGAGTAGTCAATCGATAAAAATTGGTAAATCTTATTTGTTTTATATCGATTGTATCGATCAATCGATAGAAATCGATGACACATTCGTTTCGTTTATCGGTTTATCTTGATTTTTACCGATTTTCCTGATTTATATCGGAAGATACATCTGTTCATCAAAAAAAGAAAACTGAATACAAGCAAAAAGTAAATTTGTTGACAAGTTAGTTGCAGTTGAGAGTCGAAGGATCAAACAATTATCAGTTTTAAAAAAAATCATTTCAAAAAGTCATCTTTTCTTTAAACCAGGTTTTTTAAAACTTTTTCTGATATCCAGATCTGCCACCTTCTTAAAATATCGTCAGTGTAGTTCCGGGTGTACTGAGTTACATCCCGGAGTAGTCAATCGATAAAAATCGAAATCGATAAAAAATCGTTAGGTGGTTTTTATTGATTGATAACAGAAAATGGTGAAAGTCTATCTAGCCAAATCGTATAGCCTGAATTTACATTCGATGGGTTGTCTGTATTTCTAGTGATGCTTTTCTGGAATCTGAATGTAATTAAACGGCACCGTTTCTGTTATAAGGAACAAAATGAGGGGTTTTTGAGAGAAAACTGTGTTTGTAATAGGTTTCACATTTCTCATTTTCATGTTTTTTTGATCAGTTGTTACTCGTAGCATCCAACTTATGCCAAAAAACAACAATGGCGGATCTCTTTTATAAATCGTTAAAATCAGGAAAAATCGATAACATCGATTTGACACAGCAATTTATTTTATCGATTTTACCGATTGCTGTTATCAATCGATGAAAATCACTCAGTTTCCTGTGCATCGATTTCCTATGGTTATTGGTTTGACAGAATTTTGATCTCTGAAGCACCGTCTACGTTTCCAGTCAAACGTTTTACGAGTCATGTATGTGTACTACCTAGTCTCCCACAGCAATAACAATCCATTGTTTTTATTTTCATGTGTTCAAACTCACATGTAGGTATTTCAAAATAAGCTGAAATACCACTGCTCTAAGTCAATCAAATTGCAGAAATTTCTCATGTAATGGTATAAGTATAGGTAATAGCATGATTTGTAGTGATATTTGGCACAAATACTACGAGTGATATTTCAAAATTGTTATACGTAATTTCACAAGCCATTTGAGACAATTATGAAATATCACAAGTGGTATTTATGCCAGATATGACGTACAAATCATGCTATTATTTGTTTATACTACTACCTGCAAAAGGTTTGTAATTTTCACATGTGGGTATTTCTAATTAAGCAGAAATATCACCGCTCTAAGCCAATCAAATTGCAGAAATTTCTCATGTAGTAGTATAAGCTTGTAAACCAGAGCTATTAAACTTTAACCCGCTTGCAAGGGTAACCCTAGCACAAAGGTAATCCTACGCCTCTCTCCTTGCAAACAGGCCCTTAAAAGCTGTTCGCTGTCTGTTCTGATTAACTTATCGTTTTCATGTGGTACAATAATTCTGGATGGTCTAGGTTATCGTGAAAGGGCTTCCGACAAAACAAATAATCACTCTCGATACTGTTGTCTACAGATATTCTTTAACAGATTTACCCTCATTTACGGTTGCATATTCCACCTTCTATTGGACGCAATGGCCGGCAACGCTTTTCGGCGAGTCTGATATATTGTCAAAGCGCGTGAATTTTCAAACGAGAGATGTCAAAAATGTGTAAAAAAGGAAGATGAGTTATATGATGTTATGAGTCACAGTCCTTAAGTTATCCATTTATCTCATACTCAAAGTAATTGCAACAAGCCCCAACATCAAAATATCATTCTCAGCCACAATTTTCAGTCGCCTTCCTTACAAAAGAGGAAAGAGGCGCTCTTGTATCCTAATAACATCGAATAATAACGTCGAATTTAGAAAAACTCACCTCTCTCTTTTTGGCCACTTGATCAGTATTCAGTTCATTTAACACTAATTATGCCCAAATGCTTCCATGAACACTGATCCTGATCGACATTTGCATATGAACATACGAAACTCGGGAAAAAAATCTATGTATTTTCCAGTAATTCCTCATAATTCACACGATCTTTTGAGATCATGACACTAGTCGTTCTGTTGTTTTCTACAAAATAATTTTTTGACGTCATAGATCCCGTTTCATCTTTTACATGTTACAGATCATGCCTGTTGAATAAATAGAAAAATAGAAACTATCGATTTGTATAAAATCAACACGCATGAATCGAATACATACATGTGACTTATATCAAAATCACTGAAAATTTAGTTGATTTTTCTTGAATGATGCAGTAAGTAGTGAAATTGTTCTTTAGCATGAAAACTTCGGTCGATAAGTACGTTTGTGTATAGTTTGGAAAACTGCTGAAAAATGGGTAAATCACAGGAATTAATGAGTTCGGACAATTCAGCAATTAATGAGTTCATACACAATCTATATCAGTTTTGCCAAAGGAAAGCACACATATTATTACCCGGCAGTATATACGATGTAGTGACCATGCAGGCATTAATAAATTTACCAAACACATTAATCAATGACAAATCTAGATATGTTTGTGGACTAGTAGTCAAGACACTTTTGCAGTACTGGTATAATGCCCATTCTACTTAAATTTGTGAATTTTCTGTTTGCAGCTATTGTTATTTTTTTAAAGCCTTGCAAATTAAGAAACAGCTACAGTCTGTTTGTTTTACTCAAGCTAACCTGGCTTCTGGTTCCTTCAAAGTCCAAAAACATGAACTTCCACCTTAAGGTTATAGTTTGCCTCTTATAACCAGCTTACAAACTTACCTTTTCATATTCAAAATTATCAAAAACGTCCTCTCCCACTCCTCATGTACGTAAGAAATTACAAACCTGCAGTAAAATGAAAAATATACAGTAACACTGTTTGAATATTATGAATTAACATAATTTAAGACCCGAAGAAAGAGAGTATATACCTCCCACTACTGTCAGTATGGTAACTTGATACAAGCTTATGTTGGGAGCGATATAGTTGAATGCTTACTGTACTTTGCGAAACGAAACCAAAACAAAACGAAACGAAACGAGATTTGCGAAATGAAACGAGACCGCTAAATCGAAACGAAACAAAACGAAAACGAAAAAAACAAAAACAAAAACATCACCAGGCTGATAGTTACGGCAGTTAAATAAGCATAATGATTACTGCGGTCTTCTTCATAGTCGCTCACACCCGGACAATACTTCAAAGTCTAATACCCACAGTTTTGGATCTTAAATGAATCCCGGGAAGAGAATACACATCATGACCCCCACCTTTGACAAGTTTGAATTATTTCGGGGTATTTGTTGACAGGCATTTTTTCATTTAGCATAGGTTTTCACAGAATTTGTTTGACGTTACGTTTGTGGAACGTTTTTGTAGCCTAGAAACGCAGGCCGCATTCGATCGGACTTTTCGCCCGATTCATCTCGCACTAAATGACGGGAAGTCATACTCATTGCTCTCAGTTTCCAAGGCTTAGTTTTTCGAGTCTTTAAGTCTTAGGTCTTATTTTTCCGGATACCCCAAGGATGACCGAACAGGTCCTAGCCTGCGTAGCAAGCGTTTTTGCGCAAGTTCATCGAGAAAGTGGGGACGAGAGCAGGTCCAAACTTTATAGTCCCGCTTAGAATACATTCGTAGTGATCCAACAGTACTCTGGATAGCCTAAAAACTGTTTCAATGTATTAGGAGGAAACCGTCGTTAGGTGCCCCTGAAAAACGTTCACAAACGTAGCATCAAAAAATTCTGCGCAAAAAAACTATATTAAATGAAAATATACCTGTAAACAAAAAGCCCCAAATGATTCAGAGATGTTAAAGTTGGTGGTCATGATGATTATTCTCTTCCAAGGCTTCTCTTTAAAAGGTGTTTCGATACAGTTTCTCGGAGACCATACCTCCATGGCTAGTACATTTTAGTATGACTTTCATTGCATATTTTGAATGTAAAACATTTTGTCAATGCTCACATTGAAATATTCTAGCCATGAAGGTATGTATTGTGGGCATTAATTTGGAAATCGATGGAAAAATTAGCATAACGTCAAAACAGTGAATGTTGTAACGCGGATTTTTGGTCGGTTCGTAGGCTAGATTCGTCTTGAAATTTCAAGGTGTTGCAGTGAATCAATCTTAATGAAAGTTTTAGATATTATTATATACATCATGAAGATTATGTGATAAGGTTTAAAAAGAATTCTGTCGAGCCGTTTTAGAGATATACCGAAAAGCGCTAAAAGCCACAATTTAGAATAAAGTTGCACTCAGACAGGTGGTGAGAAACAGGTTAGTTTTCAGGATCGCAAGAAAGGAAATAAACCAAAATTTCCCTGCATCAAAATATGATATTAAGCAGCCTTCTGACGCTACTTAAGATTAATTTGAGTTATTTAGAACTTTTTAATTAAACAATTTATCACGGCTATTGAAAAATATAAGGTTTGAAATATATTTACGTTTTATTTGAATTCAAACATATAGAATTTTTTACTTCTCACGGAGGTTATTTGCTAAATACCACACTTTAAGTTCCTGGTGTCGGATTTTCAGTAGCAGGTCTAGATCGCACGAAATTCGGATTTTACTAGAAACTGCATTTTGACAAACTTTAATTCATGGTTAATCACTGGGGAAAATTTGTGAGGATCGGACAAGGATAAAAGTACTTTAAGGCGAATGAAAAACATCGGTATGGTCTGCGAAAAATTGTGGGTAGACTTTGAAGTGTTTTCCAGGCGTGAGCGACTTTCAACGCTCGATGGATGAAGAAGACCGTAATAACTATTATGCTTATTTAATCGCCGTAATTATCAGCCTGGTTTCGTTTTTGGTTTGTTTCGTTTCCTTTGGCGGTTTCGTTTCGCAAATCGTGTCTCGAGCATAAGTATTAGTTAAACCCTGAAGGACCTGAAGGAAGCACATCTTCCCCAAGTTAGCTCCAATATACCAATAAAAGCCTGTGTTCATTCGGGCTATTATTTATAAAAAAAAAACATCCATCAACCAAGAGCAAAAGGATTTCGTGATCCATTCTTACGAACAATAAGCAATAAGTGAACAACCTGAATAAGAAGGAATTTAGAGATGCAATCAAGTTACGGTACGACTGGGATATAACGGACACGCCCACGATCTGCGCATGCGGTGATGGATTTAGCGTGGATCACGCAATGGTGTGTCAGCGCGGCGGGTTCATTATCCAGCGCCATAACGAACTGCGCGACTTGGAAACAGAGATGCTAAGGATGGTCTGTAATGAAGTGGAAGTAGAACCAGTCCTTCAGGATGTCACTGGGGAGACAATAAATCATGGCGCTAACTCGAGGCTTTTGGGAGAGACAGAGATCTGCATTTGTCAGTGTTCGGGTGTATTACCCCAATGCAGACTCTTACACAGACTTGACTTCTAAGGAAATCTACAAGAAACACGAGAACGAGAAGAAGAGGCAGTATGCGGAAGAGATCGAATAGGGAACGTTCACTCCTCTAGTTTTCACGACCACAGGCGGAATGGCGGATGAGTGTGTTAAGTACGACAGCAGCCTTGCAAGGCTGATCGCAAATAAGAAAGGACAAAGTTACTCAAGAGCAATTTCCTGGATAAGAGCTGAAGTGTCTTTCGCCGTCATACGCTCAGCGATACCATGCTTGAGAGGCTCAAGATCCAGAAGACGACAGCTAGACTTGGTTGACTCAGATTTACAGATGGAAAACGTTAAAGCTTGCCCAAATTAATCTTTCTCTTTTTAGAAACATTTTAAAGAAACTTTTTTTAAATTTTAGATGCTGATAGAAGCTGATAGGTATAATGGATGGTTTTGTCATGGATATGTTTTACAATGAGTGTATATTTAACAATTATTCCACGAGGGCGCGTTGGATATGAGATGATAGATAGCCAACGAGGCGCATAGCGCCGAGTTGGCTATAATCATTTCATATCCAACAAGCCCGAGTGGAATAATTGTTTTATTAAAAACGCCCACAAAATCTCGTTGAATCGCCCCGACTAGAACAAACCGGAAAAGACAAGGGACTTCCGCTATTGACATGTCACACGTCTATCAAAACTGTCAACGCGCGAACGGACTCGCCTAGACTGCATGAATGAAAAATCAAAACATCGTGCGATGAACATTAGTTTTTTAAAAACTCATCGTGATTCTAGGATTTTACACAGCAGAACAGCTTAAAAAACCTGGCAGATAATGTGAAGGAAAGGAATTTTTAAGTGACAGCCGTCGAAATTACTATGAATTTGGATTTTCGATGCAGTTATAAAAGTAAGAACAACGGAGAAAAACTACCGGTATTACCTCGGTCGCTTGTTATGAAGTTGTTTAGCCACAAGCTGGTTTTGCTGAACGAGAAAAAAAGCTATACTGCCGCCTCGATTGCTCTAGTGAATGGCTGCATAGCCTGTATTTGTAGCTGGTTACTTGTGATTTATATTCTTGATGTCGGATAAACAAGCTGCAGTTATCTATCGGCGAGTGACTCGATCGGAGAATGGCTTCGCGATCATGAAGAAACAACACTTGTCGTCTTTCGTAGCTGGTCAAGGTACCTTAGTTCCATGTGTTTTCATGTGTTTTTCGACAAACTTTCAAATAAGCTCTTGTGGCTTTTTTGTTTGTTTTTGTCTTTTTTCTTTCGTTGAAATTGTATTTCTAGTATTCTAAGAAATGAATTAAAACGATTTGCTTCGGGCGCCGTTCTATCCTTCGCGAAAAAAAATCTCAGCTAGCTTCCAATTTTAAACTGACGCGTACACCGACCATATATGGAGAACATGGTATATTATAGGAAAATTCATTACCTGACGAGGGAATTCCACGTTAAATTGCACGCGAAAACCGATATCGCACGAATCGCGAAGCGATGAGTGCGATATCGGTTTTCAAGTGCAATTTAACGTGGAATTCTCGAGTCAGGTAATGAATTTTCCTTGAATCGCATAATTGAATAAAAATCAGAAGAAAAAAAAAGAAAACAGCAATAATATTGTTTGTTTTTATCCTGAGCGCGCGCTCCAGAAAGCCATTTCAAAGTCAACTGTCAGAACTGTCATTGCGTTAGCGAATAGGAAGCAAGGTCAGTCGTACACGTTTGAACCTTCGACAACTTTTTTTGTACCTTGTGCTTGTTTTTATATTTGTTTTCAAACTTTTCTACATGTAAACAAGCTTCACACTAATCGTAAGGATAAATAGAGGTATTTTACTGAATTTAGAAGCCGTTTATGTAGAACGTCTTTTTTCAAATTGGTCATTTGCTCGAGAGGGAAAATAATTTACACCTTTTACCTCTTCGGCGGCAAAACGGAAAGAAATCAAGTGTCCAAGCGAAAGCACTGAAAGTTTAACATGTTTAACGTCGCGATTGACATAAGGTAAGTACCTTGAAATGTTTTAGAAATGCTGTTCAAGTTCAGCTCTGTTTTGTACTTTTCTAAGTACCACGATTCAGGACGATTGCAAGCGGCGTACTCTTTTTCGTGTTTTCAGGGGCCATGTCCTCTTTGAAGGTATTTATTTCTTCTTCTGTATATGGGACAATCGACCCCGGCACTTCCTCCGTTGTCGTTTCTCCGTTTTGTTTGGTTGAACTTTGGATTGCCATTTTCTGGGCCGTGTTCACAGGATTTTCTTGTTTTCTGGTTGTCGCGAGTGAAAGAGGTTTTATGTCTCTTCGAGAATCTGTAGTTCAGTTCAAAACAAGGAAGAACCTCCGGCTCACTTTAAAAAACGCTTTTGTTTGTTTTTAACTCTTCAAAAAGTGACAATGAATGGTTTTGAAAACATTTTAAAATGACATTGTAGAAAACCTTTTTTGCATGTTGTTGTGTTAGAATTTGACGATAGTTGTTACGTAGATGCGAAACAATATCGCTTAGCCTCGTTTCCAACTCGCAATTCCACACTAAATACCTCGCTTCGTTAACCAATCAGAATGCGAGATTTTACTTAATTATGCGATTCTAGCTCATATACCATAACGGCTAAGCCAATCAAAATGCTAGAATTGCATTATCCAATGATTCAGTTTTTAATAAATATATATATATATATATATATATACATATAGATATATTTTTCAACTAACTCCTTTGCTTTTAGTTTAAGAACTTCATGTATGTATATGGCGAGAAACTATAATTACCATATTGCAGTTGTTTTTACAACAGTTAATAAAGTTGCTATTATTATGAAAGCAATCAGTGTACGATAACTGAGAGGTATTTATGTGAAAACCATTAGCAGCATGGTTTGATTTAGCTTGCACGAACAGTTTTAACTCGTGAACAATAAGCTTAAATGTGAGGATTTATGTGAAAAACAAAATAATAGCTTTGCATGGTCAAAAAATGTAGAACAACTGTTCGACTGCGCTCAGTTTACTCTTTTCTGTAATATTTATAAGTATATTATCATAAATCAATATTCATAAGCCTACCTTCTCAAGGTCGCCTCGTTTGCTACACGCCGCCATGTTCTGAGAACCATGAGGACACCTTAAGCCCCAGATAATCAGATACCTGAACTCGCAATCAAAGTGGTACTAAAAGAAGCAGTAAAATAAAAACGCTGTGTGTCCCTTATGGGCATCCGTATACATGTGAGTCATATAAGAATCACTGAAAATTTAGTATTACTTTTGAACGATAATGTAGTGAAATTGTTCTTTAGCATCAAAACTACACAGTAGATCTGTCACGCACGCAACCGAAATTAGTCATGATGTCTTGACGATATGTCGTCATTAACAAATGTATGATTCTTCGCCTTCATATATGAAAAAATGGTTCCGCCTAATTGTTCCGCCTTGGGAGTTTACAAATCGACGCACGTACTCTGCGGGGGGAAGGAGATGGGGGACTTCCATGTTTGGCTCACTCGGTATGTGCCGCTCTGCATAATATAGGTTTATGGAATCTTCAATCTTAAAAAAGAGTTCAGTTTCACTATTTAGCGTTTAAACAGGGTTGCAATCTTAAAGCATTTTGCCTTAAACAGGGTCAGAATCGAAGGGTTTCAGCAGTACAGCCCCAACCAAACTTCCTTTAAATCTTCCCCTCTCCGGGGAGGTTTCCTTCCTTGTACATAACGATAGTACAAATTAAAGTAACAAAATCATTTTATCACATCAATGGGACCTAGGTCCCTCAGGAAGTGACCAAGGACTCTTTGTAGAGGACTCAACGCATGCGCATAACTAATAAACGTCCATTGACAACATTGTCTAGGGGTACCTGGTATTAGCGAAAACAGTGTAAATTTATCTGCATAACAAGACAGCAGCATACATTCATCGCAAGATCTGCAGAGGTTGTGAAATCGAGACAACTGAGAAGTGGTATGAACACCAGCCAACAACAGTAACAGCGAGGCCACAATACGCTGGGATATGCCTGTGCACACACTTCGGGGAAATAAAAGCCAACAGACCTGACATTGTGGTCGAAGACAAGGAAGAAAGAAGGTGTATGCTCATTGACATGGCAGTTCCATCTGAAAGTGACACCTCAGCAAAATTCATAGAGAAGTTGTCCAAGCATAAAGATTTGGAAATTGAGTTTAATAGGATGTGGGATATGAAAACGGAAACAGAGGCCATGAGGGCGAGAGGAATAATTGTTTTAGTAAAATCCAACTAGTTGGTCAAAAATATCAAGAACCAAAAAATTTTAACTGGTTAAAGCTAGACGCTTATCGCCGGCGCTTATCGCTACTAGTGGGCTATAACATATAGCCTAGTAGTAGCTCAACCAATCAGAACACAGCATTGATAATAGACCACTAGTTGGATTTTACTAATAGTCATTTGTTCACTGATAAAGTACTCCCCCCACCCCGGCCAAAGTTGAAGTACATAGACTTTACAAAATTGCTTCCACATTTTATAAGACTTGGCAACACCTTCCCAAAAATAGTACGGCTTTTTATAATTTGCGAAACGACTGTTGTGTAAAACAAGAAGTTTATTCTCTTTAAAAGTGACAAGCTGAGATGGGCACCAAGAAGAGCACTTGTCAGTTGACAACCGTTTAATAAATAACTCACACTGTCTTAATTTACAACTTTTAGTTCCAAGAGACAAATAAGGAGAACTGTTTTTGAGCTGTAAACTTTAAGGGGATATCAAATAAATAAAATTGAAGGTAAGAAAAACAAGGCTGGAAAAGAAAACGAATCTTCTGATCTTTTTCCAGGTTAATTATTCATTCCGACTTCAAGAATAGAGCCAAGGAAAATGCAAAGAGTTTTGGGTTGGAACTTTACATTAGCATTGGACATCTTAACTACGCATATGAGCGCGAAAGTTGAGTGTTGTTAATAATTGTGAATGAAATCACTGAAAACAATGCCGGTTAATGAATCTACTTCTGCGGCCGTTTTGATACTAGAAAGTGTTAAACATACAAACGTACAAATGCACAACATCATCTTTTTACAACGACAAATATTAAAAAAATACTGAATACTTTCTCAAAAGAGCGAAGAAAACTACCGAAAACAGTCTCGAATTTTACGGGTTTTCTCTTAACAGATGCGCCACAAACTCTCAATTCACACGATTTACACACCAATATAACTTAATTTTAAATGCTTTTATATCTTTGAACTGCAAACAGATTAGATGACATGACACACTATCGTCGTTCGCTTTAATAAAGCGATATCGTTAACACTTAACTTCCCCCTATCTGAACGCCTGGAATCGGCCGGCGGCCGGACATTATAACCACAAAAGTATGTCCTCCATTTTTTATTTTTGTTGCTCATGAGCCGCTACTGGGCCTCGTAAAGATATCAACTGCTTGTCGATTGTTGGCCTCTATGTTTTGTTTCTCTATGTTCTCGTTGATATTTAACAGATAACTGTCTAAAAATGAATCAAGCACTAACTGCAAGTTAAGGAAAACAACTAACGCTGAAATCTCCATTGTTTCTTACAAGCCGTCTTGATTAATCGATTAGTGTAGTTTGATTCATGGTTTAACAATACGATTTTATCGATTTACCTTTTTCTCAAGGAAACAATGCATGCACTATATTTTCAAGAAAAAGAAGAAGTGATTGGTATTAATGAAGAAGAATAAGCATAATAAATAATGCGACGTGCAGAGGATACGTGGATGGTGAAACTCCTTCTCTCCTGTAAGACTGACGTAATTAGAGCCATTGTAGAACCAGCCTGGTGGCAAAGGATCCAATCTGTGTTTAGCCTGGGAAAACCAAAACACCCGCGATCACTTATCTCATAACAGTCGTATTAATACTCAAAGTGTTAATCAGTGCCCAGAAAAAATAAAGGCTCGGGCGCGGCGAGGCAGCAAAAGCGCCTACGACAATCTCTGAAAGAGGTGGGAAATTTACAACAAACCAAAAGCGTACTAAAGGAAAACCGAGAAGCAAGATCCATTTTACTTCTTCCAATGTCCTAACGTATAGTAGAAAACCACGAACAATACACTTCGTGCTGGTTGAACTGAACCTTCCTTACATGCGGAGCCACGTACGACAAGCACCGAAATTGGTGTCAAGAGCCTTTCAGGAAGGAATCTTCTTCTCAGAGGTCCCGGATTTAACGAACCAGCGTCGCCATGGATCGCGAATGATCCTTCTGAATTCCACCAGAAACTTACGTGCAGAGAAAAGTAAAGTAATCTGACCTACTGGGTACTTACGTTTATTTCTGAAACCTCTTTGTCCGACAGATCCTTGCGCGTTTTCAACTTCTGCTTCTTGGGGGCCTAAAAGTTATTGTAACACAAACGTCAGCCAAACAGGTATCAGAGCCCGTCACTTGAAATTGGACTTGAGACTATTCAGGGTTGGTGGACAACTTCATTACTTCGTTACTTAAAAGAAATTACAACGAACTGGTTCAGTGGTTGTTCATGTTAAAAATACCAAGACATTCAATCACACACCGGTTTACAGCACGTTTTAAGCCAATCTTTCAAGTTCTGTTCCTGAAGGTTAAATCCCACAAAAATGATGCAGTACTCGTTAACTTTGTGTGTGGCGCCATTCCGTTGTGCAGCGGCAGAGGGAGGTCTGGGAATGGCGGTGCTATCTAATGGGTTCATTCTCAGCACTCCACTCAGGCGGACCCACTGGACACGTACTTCCTTATGAGGCTCCTCTTCTGTTAAAATAGCAATTCATACTCCTTATCAGTTAGCTTAAAAATAAAAACTAAAGATATAACGAATGACAAGACTGCGGACTCAATGCAAAGTGAGTGAAAGGAAATGAAACTGCATTTGGACTGAGAGTCACTGTAAAAGCATTTGGACATTCAAGGAAGAGGTGGTGGTGAGGTAGTAAATTTCATGTGAAAGTTATTGTCGCAAAAGAGGAACGTGTATGGAAAGAAATCAAAGCCAACGTCGAATCAAGTGAAAATATAAGTTGCCAGACCTTTACAGGGAGTATAAAGATTACCAAAAGTGATTTAAAAAATGCTGTACAATTCATCTGACTAAAAATAATTCCCTTTTCCCCTGGTTTCCCGTTTCACCCAGGTTATTAGAAAGATTAGAGAGATAAAGATTCACGCTTACGGCAAACGTCAGATTCAAGTTGAGAATTTCTCAGAATAGAAAATAAGCAGATAAAACTGTCCAGAACAATTCTTCGGATAAAACTGGCGTGAAACTTTTTATTTTTGTGTAGAAGTAATAAACAGTAAACGACAATTGAGGGGAAAACTTGGTCACGTGGTACAAATTCACGTTTGCCGTTTGGCGTAAACGTGAATCTTAATCTCACTATTGAATAATCAGATGTCTTTGGTTCAGTACCTCAAAAATACATCAGCGTCATGCAGTAGATATTTTAAACGGTCATAGAAAAAAATAAACAAACATGAAACAGAAGGGCCAAATCGTATTACCTGAAAAACAGACGTGCCCTCGCAGACTGTGAATTGCTCCTAAACACAACAGAATAGATGTTAGAAAACGAACTCAAAATGCAAATATTCCCCATCCCTTTCGAGTCAAGGAAGATGAAGTGGTCATACACAAGTGTGAGAGAGGACAGAAATCGACGGAAGACAAGAAATCCCTTAGATGCGAACCATTTTGTAAGTTGTTTTGTTTTTTGCTTGAAATTAACTCCATGAGTCTGTACGTGTTATCCAATTTACACAATAAAATGAGAAGAAACTTCAGATTGACTGACCTGATTCGCGTATTCCTTTATATGATATGGGACTGTGAAGTGCTGTTTATTTGAAGTACACAAATTACAAAAGTCAGTACTTAACAACCTATTGTAGTTGTGCTTTGATAGCACGCACGTGGCAATCGCAAGATTGCCATATAAGTTGCCATACTCCCTTTTTCACTCAAGTCTTGGACAAACTTCACCTAAGTCTTGCCCTGTAATAACAAGGTGCATATAAAATTTAGATCCCTTTTTATCTCTTTTCCATTTCATGTTGTTTTATTTTTAAAAAAGACACTAAGTCAATAATGAATAGATCTGAAAGGTTGTTCCAAGTTGTGTGAGCATAAAACCATCGTATCGCTATTTAAAACCTCCAGCCAATAAAGAAAATGAAACTGAAATATCAGACGTCGCCACTTCATAAAAATCAATAGTGAGACTGAGAGACAAAATTCAAGGCAAAAAAAGTCGTCTTTTGAAGAAATAAACAGACTGTGTGTGCCGTGGTCTGTATGTAAGCTGAGCTAACAGACTCTTACCTTTAAGATTGGAGACAAATCTCGGCTTGTGGAATGGCCCATAGAATGATATTGAAATCTAAACAGGAAAGATCCATTTCAGATTGAAATCGTCCAACTTCACCAAAACAAGTTGAGAATCAAACGTTTGCGTGATAATCTCACCTCATTAACGAGTAGTTCTGATTCTCCCGAGGAAAACCACCCCAAAGACCTGAAAGAAAACAAGAGCTGTAATAACCGGAAACGACGTTTTGAACTAAAGTTTTCTGAGTTTGAGTTTACTTTTGAGCAGGGCAATCATAACCATGTCCAGACTCGCCTTCAGTGCAAGAGATGGATCGAGAATCCTTAAGTTACTCAGGTTCGCTTGTGATCGTGAGAAAAGAATGGGATTAATTGCTGATGGTCGCCCGGCTTTGATGTATGGGGCTAAGTAAAGCAAGAGTAAACTGACTAACCAGCCTGGACACATCAGCAGTCTCTTCTGAGCCATCTCGTCCTCATCAAAGGCTCTGTCCGACAGAATTAACTCTACATCAGGCGTCCTAAAAACCAAACACAAACCAAACTCATTACAAACTCCTCGAGAAACTCCAACCTCCCCCAGCCCGGCTAACGATCCCTCTACACCTTGAGATCGTGCGTCTCTCAGTACTGATGTACTTGATTCTATTTATTCACAATGCTTTGTATCCTCCTCCTTTGAACGTGAAATTTACGTTTCTCTAAACTAAGCGTTATAATTATGAAAAGTGTTTCATCGCTGAAAGCTTTAAACTTTGTACAGACTGCGCTTAAGTTAGTCAAATCTCTCAATGTCTATATTCCCTCCGTAAATGCGCACGTTCACAGACATCTTGTAACTGCTTAGTTCAACGAATTTCCTTCCACGAGATCGCCATCGCGAAAAATGTCGGAGTAATCTTGATATTCCTCTTGTACATTTACGGAGGTTTTGTGCCACATACAAAACAATCTCTGTCAAATCTTCTGATTTTCTCTGTGAAAAAGGCAAGAGAGACAAAAGAGTTTCTGCCGCTCATTATTACCTTGTGACTTCTCCCCCTTTAGCAAGAATAAACGCCACATCAGGATTACAAGCTCTGACAAGCTTCTGAATCAGACTTAGCTGAGTATTCTGCGAAATAAAAGTTGAGATATTGAATAAGTGCTTACGTGGCTATTTGATAACCAACCAAACAAAACGACGAGGACGTTGGTAGAGCCTGTTATTTAAATGTTCAACAGCAGAGGCATAAATGTAACTGAAAACATGATAAACTACAAGTGCACATTCCCAAATAGTAAGTTGTTCACTTAAGCTATAGCTCTTACGTCGGCACGAAAACCATATCGGATAGGGCTTCAGTTCACACACGAGAACGGTGATTTCTGTAACGGAGCAAGCCGCGCCGCGACGATTTTGAAGATATGGTCCAGCACTACTTTCCTGCGTCAGTATTCATTACGCAGTGCAAGGAGGTCCTATTTAGTCCACGAATGAATAGGCCCTTTCTTAGTTGCTCCAAGCCTCTTTTTCATAGCGAGGCTAGGTACGTAGCCATTGATATGAAAATGATGTTTTATTCTCAGGCAAATAAAACTCACTTTTACAAGAAAGGTTTTGCGCTTAACGTTTCGTTTTGAAAGTGAGAGTATTTGGAACTCCGAAATAACCTATTCCAGTCATGTGTTCATACAAAGGAAAGTTATTCCGTACTTTGCCCTTTCTACGGTTAATTATAAGGAAAGTAAGAGTTAAGGTAGCGACTCAGTTGGAGAGTGTCCGTCCATACCTGCGATTCTAAGCAACTTGTGAAGACGACATTATTGACCCATCCTGTTTGCAAAAGATAAAAGAAATAAAAATAATTATTACAAACAAATGTTCAATGTTATACTGATAATTAAAAATAGAGTTTTGTTACTAGAGATGCCGTCTAGCTCTTAAGTATTGCTAATCCTATCAATACTAAGTGAAGTTGGCCTGCTACTAAAGACAATGGTAAACAAACCCTGTGCACACTGTTCCAGCAGCTTGGGAAGTGTTAACCTACACGCAAGATCAAAACATCATCCATCAGTTAATTCCATACATGCGCATGTCATAGAAAGTACCCCGTCTCTTTAGTCAATCAATTAATCAACCAAAAGACTTCATTTTAAGAGGGGAGCGTGTGACAGTAGTAAAACTGATGACCCTGTGGCCCTCTATAAAATACAACTTAAGATAGAAAAATGAGCGCTGACTTACACTAGAAATATTATAAAATGCAAAAATGAAATAGAAATAACTATTGATTATAGTCTACGAATAGTCTACGAAAAAGCCGAACAGATGATCCCTACCATTTCTCGGGTATCGTGCACTGTAAGTCTTCGTGAGACAGTTTAAAATTTAGTACTGAACAAAACTTCTCACGGAAAAGCGCTTAGTTCACTCGAAGGCATTTAAGTGAAACAAGGCCTATGCACTCGCCAGACAAGTCACTCTTACGTTCGTCTCAATCTTCGAGCTACCATGAAATGTGCAGCAAAATTACGCCCTCGATGCATACTAGCAATCGTCCTTCGATGACATCCTTGCCTCGTTCACAGGGTTCTACCCTATTCGTCCAGAGACGAGTAGGGTGAGTACCCTGGGAACGAGGTTATGACATCAAGTGCTGGTGCAAAAACTTGTGGAAAGGCTATTAGTCTGTCACTCAGCTTGCTGACTGCTTGTTATTGTACATTATACCAACCTGTTCTGCATAAAGCAATTCAGTGGGTCCACACAGCAGGTTACAGCTCCTATCTTCAGACATTTGCCAACCTCGCTATCAGGATGAGTCTTTATAGCTTGTACCACGTCTATCACGTCAGTAAACCTTAAGTGAAAACACCACAAGTTATCCCTGTAGAAACAAACACTCTGGTAGGCTCCATTACCAGCCGCTGTTCGAGAAATGAGCCCGCGCTCCTCTCTCGAAAAGGACCGAGAGGGCGGCGGAAATCAACGCTAACACTGGCTGATATTTACTATATGTAAGGCCAAGGACATGCCTTAAAAGTTAAAAAACATTTGCTACAGTAACGACACTGGTGGCAATTCTAATTTTTCGATAACTGTTACAAAATCAAATTGACATACGCCTCAAAAAGAGGCAGGAAGTTTGAGCCTACAACGTATCACAAGTCTTGTTTCCATTCGTGACAAGTATCAATTTTTTAAAGCAATTCTTTAATTCTTTTCAACTACACTGCTGGTTTACAAGCAGAGTAGCTACCCTAAATTTCAGTCGCTAGATGAGTTACCTTATGATGGCTGACAAAGCATACATATTCTCTTACCCCGGTGTAACAACAATAACTCTAAGCCTTCTTCCACTAGCTGTAAGTCTTGCGTGAAGTCGCCGTTGGCTTAATAAAGTTGTGGTTAGAGATTCTTGTAACACTGCAATTATCAATGAAATAATCAAAATATCAGTTCTTTATTATTCTTAATCTTCGATCAATACCTTAATGATTTTTATGGTTAGCTCAGCTCAGGGTATTACTGATTTGTTTGATTTTTTGTTTGTGTCTTTTTGTAGGTTTTTATTTTCTGGGCTTTTGTCTTGCTTGTCTTTTTATGTGTCTACAAATGATAAAAAAATAAAAACAAAAAGATCGAGGATCCGAGGATCCGAGGACCTTCCCCTTATGTACGGGTGTATTTTCTTGTCTCGCAAACCCCTCCAGTTTTTTCTCAAGGATGAATTTCTTAGCACATCCGGGTGGCTGGATTATTCCATGAAATATGGGTCACCTCATTCCTCTATTATCTTACAATTCTCTGTTTAATTTAAATGGGGTAACACAGTTCGAAGGATACGATCGTTCGTCTTCCGTGAAAAGAAATCAGGTTGTGGTCGCCGAACTTGTTTTTGAATTACAAAGCGCTCAAAAAAAAGGTTACAGCTAGTGAATCGCTAGTGACTGCAAGACATTTGAAGAATACAATATCCTGGCAACAAACAGTAGAAGTGTTGATTCATTAAAGTGTAGAGGAATTACAGGCCAAAATTTAACCAATCGAGAGTGGTTGTAATTGAAGAAAATACAAGCCATATGCGGGCACTTGTATAAGGGAGCAATTCTGCCCCCCCCCCCCCCCCCCTTCCTCCCGACCCCAACACTGAGAAGCAGAGGTAAAAGAATATGAGATGAAAATGAAGCTTACCTTTGGGATCAAACGGGTCAGACTTGTTGTCGGGTCTTTGTAAGATTACCCATCTGTCAAAAATCACAATTACAGTAAGGAATGCTGAATATCAACTGAAATAAAATAGCAGTTCGAGAGATCTTCTTTTGAATATCACAACAGACGTAATATCTGCTGGCAAGACCTCATCAGACCTTAAAAAAAAAACACAAACAAACAGGCAGATCAAGCGCGGAAAAATTCGTGCTGGCATATGCCTGCATTTACAGGATAAGCCTCTGATGACTGGTTAAAAAAGAGGCGAAAGTTTAACCACTCAAAGTTTAACAGGGCAATTTTTCGTCTCCCTCTCGAATGAAAATGCTTGACAAAACATAAATTGAAAGCATACTTGCTATTTTCTTTGGCCAAAGCTGCTAGGGCTAGACAAAGTGAATCTTTTCCGCTTCCGGGTACTCCAGTCAGTATAGTCAATAACAACTTGAACGGAAATAAAAGGACAGAATCGGTAAGTTTATCACTTTTTCAATCAGTGAAATTGGAATCTTGGTCGTTATGGCATCTTACACAACTATTTTAATGATAACTACAACTTACTTCAGTAGTTATACCTGAAACGCTGGTGACTGTTTCTCCTCACTAACAGACTTGTTGCCTAAAACTACGGGTAGATCTGAGGACGCGATGGGTGTGTCGGCAAATGAGCAACTGGCTGATAAGTGACACAAGAAACTGAAATGTATGGAGAATAGGAAATTGAACAGCTAGTGTTAGTGCAAAAAACCCGCACCAAAGTGCCGACATACCACTGTCTACTTTGAAACAAAGCTATCTGTCAATAAATAACTTTATCACTTCAGACTGAAAAGGGAAACGCTTTGTTCAGCGTAATAATCAGCACAATAGAAAAGTATTACTCAGCAGGTTTTATTTATATGGACAGTACTGTACAGCATACACTCATCGTCCCACTGCGCAAATGATGATCATGATTAAGAACGATGGAACCAAAGTTCAAATGGATGGAATATTAGCGACTTTAAGATTTGACGACGACTACGAGTACCACTTAAGAATTCCGAGCTAATTTTATCACCCAAAATATAAAACACTTTCCTGTTGCTGACTAGCAAATAATTAAACGCCTGGTGTGATAAGTATTAAATTATAGCGAGAAACGAAAATTTGGTTTAAAATTGAACTCGTATTCGTACTCAATAATATCGTACTTGAAGTCCGTCCAATCTAAATTAGGTCCTTATTGAAGTGTTCATTTAAAAAATAAAACCCATATGAAAGGTACAGTTTAGAAACTCTTTGGACCTCCGGAAATCTCCCTTAGTGGGTAATTTTTAAAAAATAACTGCTTTTCCAGTCTAAGCCTTATGCTTTCATGAAACTTTCACGAGAAATGGTGTTTATAAAAGCATTGGGTGAACTGAAAAGACTACGAACGCGTTTTTGTTAAACGCTGTCTTGTTGGTCCAACAACGGAAAACGTAAACACTACACAGAAATTTTTTGCTCGGAAAATATGTGCTGCCACTTTAAGTACAACGAACCTTTTTTCCCTAATAAAGGTTTTAAAACAATTCCTTACTAACTTGCTTACTTTTTTAAATCTGGCATAGAGGCTTCAGCAGAAGACAAATCCTGGATGACGGCTGGACTCTCTAACTGAATTTGTAGAAAGGAATGCCTGGAAGGATGAGATTATTAAAAATCAGAAGAGAATCCAATATACATCATTCTTGCATATTCTGCTACTGAAATTTACTGTGACTGTTGGAGTTAGATGCTATTGGTGCTAGCCTTAAACTGTCTCAAAAAACACAATTATTACAGCATGAATTTAGCAGAACAGATATAACTACCCACAAGTAACAATAATTAATCGAGGTGGGTGGGCAGAACAAGATATATGGACCAAAATACAGGACGTTACAGCCAAACAACTGAAATTACAAGGTTATTGCAAGACGTTCGTTAAATGTTTGCACCCAGCTGTTAACGCCATTTAACAGTTGAATGTTACAATTCAGAACTAGCCTATTCTCAATTTACAAAGTAGACACTACTCACCGTTCATTCAAGTCATCAGGCAATTCTAAGGAGACAAAAAAGTACCAGCCATTACAAAAGCACATACTTTAAGAGCACGCCAATTGTTTCTAATAATAACAGATAACACAGTCTGGCTGCCTGTACGATGTTACCTTGAAGATGACTTTCTTTGTGTTAAAAATCTCCGATACGCTCCCCCGACTTCGCCGCCCCCGAAACAAAGATGTATAATTCCCACAGCACAAAAATATACAACGGTATGTCCCAAAAGCAAACAAAACAAACAAAACAAACAAACTTGTATAAATGTAAGAATGATTATCTTTCCGAAAGTTAACTACAATTATATCATTTTCGCAAAATCTTACCAACTAAAGTTTCAAAGTGAGGAAAGCTGGGTACTTGGTTCTCTTTCCACAGATGTAAAACATCAGAGTAAAACTGTCTGTATATATGTGAATGTGGAGTGAGAGCTAGAACCAAGTTATTCTGTTTATTTATCAGATAATATGGAAGGTTCTCCTTGATGCTTGCATGATACGTTAGAATAAGGAGTGTACTGATAGTGGTGGAGCCCTGTGAAACGAAGGCAAAGACATCAAAATTAAATACAGCAGCACATGTGCCGCGTTATCAGTTCAGTGATAGTCATTTCTTCTTATTTGTCAAGCTACGTCAGTCTAATAACTCATACAGCAAAGAATGACATTTTTCTAGGTTTTCATTTGTTCAGCGTTTAAAAATACTGAAACTTTGTATTCTATCACAACAAAACATCGCCGATGCATACCTAACCAGTTAACAGAGTCACTGCATTCAGAGCGTCTAATACGGCACGTGTGTGGGATCCCTCGATACAGTAAGGAAACGCGCATAACACCTTATCTAATAGAAGGGATTACCTGTAAGGAATATTGACTTTTGAAATACAGTTACCTTGTCATAAAACTGCACTCTTGAAAACTTAGAAATAGGCAGTGAAATGACACCAAATCTTGGATGGACGAATACAAAACCTTGCTCGTATACGTAGAGTGAACCTAAAATAGGGCAAAATAAATTTAAGAGAACAGCAACTAAAACACTGGTGAGCTTTACAATGAAATTCCAATAAAGAAATGGAATATAAAAAAACTCAATTAGTACTATCTCCTTAGAACAAAACAAATACCATACAATTTCCCAGAAAAACAAAAACCTTCTCCCATGTGAGGAACGCAAGAACTATCGACCACAAACCTGTTTCCCATCCATTTGCTGGACTTAAAATAAACACGTGGCTGCCACAAAGCAACTGTTTCCCAAGAACTTTACTTTCAGCCTTTGTCTGCCAAAGAAATATCAATTTTCGCTTCATCGTCAGCCATTAAAGCAGTTAGTTGGTCTAACGTCATAGCATCTACACCATATAGGTCATTCCTGGTATAAAATACTCGTGATGGAACAGTACATCTTGTACAAATTAAATTCGCAGTACAAGTTTCCGCTTAGAAGCCAGAAGATCCTATTTACAAGGTTGGTTACATCAGCTACGAACTTGTTCCCCCCAGCAGGTCTCATGAGGCAGTGACATTAAAAGTATAGTAATGACAAGATAAATGATATTTAAGTGGCAACACTGCTCATTCAAAATATGTCTCCGTTTCCGACACGCTCAAATTCCCGACTAATTATTCATAAACAGCTAACGTTGACCAAATTTGCAAGACGTTTGCAACATCCGGCAAAATGACGTCAATAAAGCAGGCTATCACCAGAAAAAAGTACCGCAACCGAGATGCCCTGGGGATGAGTTTGGGTTAGCTCAGCTGTTTTGGAAGAGCTGGAGAAAATGGCTTAAAATTTCTTGCCTTTTACGAAGACGAAAAAGCCAAACTGCTGAATAAAAAAATTGCAACTTGACCGATGACAACCGACGTTACACTGATCACTGTAAGTATGTTTTTACCGCAAGAGTTAATTTGAATGAATGTCGTGGTTCAATTTTATCCTTGGTTTAAATTTTATTTTCTTTTGTTTTTAGGTATGTTAATGTGTGATAATGAGCTTAAAACAAAAGAAAATAAAATTTAAACCAAGGATAAAATTGAACCACAACATGAATAATGAAACAATAATTAGATTCAGCTTATAGTACGATCTGAATAATTATGTAGATCTCGGAGGGTGTTATGCACCCTCAGCCCGCCATCTACATAATTCTTCAGATCATACTCAGTTGAATCACACTGACCAGACACATATGTTGATAATTAATTTTCAACGCTAATAAATCGGCAAATCATTTCGCGGTGGTGATCAATCAAGATGGAGGCTTGTCAAGAAGAATTGTTAACCAGGAGAATATAAAGTAACAAAAAATGAAGTATTGTTGTCAAATGAACTAAATCTTGTCAGACCTTAGCAAAGGACTCTATTTGCTGTGATGTCTGCTTTTCAATCCCATCTCCCTGATAAGATGAAAAACAAGGAATAGTCTGCACTTACTCCACTGTTTTATTTTTGTACATCAACAATCATAACCTCCTCCCAGTAAGTATTATACCCTCTTTATACCTTCCACGAAACAAATCTTGGAATGTTTTCTGTCAAGAATACAAATGAGGTGTTCCAAACACTTGCATTGTCTGTAAAAATAAATTTGAGCACATAACCTTCAGTTATAGAGATAAGGTTTTGTCCATACAACCATTGAAGGATCTCAACAGGAGGAGGAATCTTTCAGGTAAGTACCAATTGAAAATTTATTACAAGTACACAAGAAAAAAACGGTCTGTGCTAATCTTTGTGCGGGGAAAAGAGCTGTTAACTGCTCAACATATTACTGAACTATGTGCTTCTTTTTACCCTGAAAACTAGCTACTATTAGGATTATTAGACTACTGCTCTAACATCTCAAGTACCCGGCACTGCCTTCAATAAGGTACCATCATTTCTCATCTAGTTTTTGAAAGCTCTTTCGAAAAAGAAGTTTAGCTTAGGGTTAAAACCTACAACAACCTACTTACACTGTATGTAACAACATCACTGTAAACTCGCATGTACACCAGCTGTTACTCCTTGATCAAATGCTCAATAAATAAATATTCATTTGTACCTGGAACAAGCATCCGGACTGCTGAATCTAAAAATGATTCACCAAATACCACAGAACCCAAGACATGTCCAGGGTGTTCAACACTTGGCACATCATACAAATAAAGACAAGCCTACAAACAAAGCTACAGGTGTTCAAAGAGTAATTTCTAGCAGAGTAGGGTCTTTGTCTTACATAATTATTTATTTATTCATAAGTATTTATACATGTATTTAATACAGTCGACTCCCGATAACTGGAACCCTCGCTAACTCGAACCAAAATCGATTTCCCCTGGATTTCCGTCCTACTTTCACTGTAATTTTACCCTCGGTAACTCGAACCCTCGACAACTTGAACTCCCGCTAACTCGAACCAATTTTCGTTTCCCCTCAGGTCATTTTCTATATAATTTTACCCTCGATAACTCGAACCATGTTTTCAGCCCTTAAAAAGTTGGGAAAAAAGCCGTCTATTGGCGTCCGAAACATTGAATTTTGGATTTCCTATTAACGTGTTGTAGGACTATAGTTTACTAATGGAGGCTGATGTTGATTGTCACAGGCTAACGTGAAGCAGCTTCACTTCTCAAAACAGTAAAACGCATGCTCTACTTAGGCTATGTTTTGTTACGTTACGTTCTGATTTATAATCTAGAAGTATCTTTTAATTTCACTTGACATTTCTACAATTAAATGTGATTGAAATGTTCACTGTGCAGTAAAAACTGTTTTTTACCTTACTCTCGACTATTTTCTTCGAGCTCCCGATAACTCAAACCTCCGATAACTCGAACTTTGTTCGATTTCCCTTGAAGGTTCGAGTTATCGGGAGTCGACTGTATGTATTTATTTGATGGAAGATCAATATCACTAGAAATGAATTTATAAAATACCCTGATTACATTTTTGGTCAGAAAAAGTCTGTTATGTGGCCAAGATGTATGCGATAAATGTGTGTTTACTGCTAACTCATTCAATGACGCATTTATCACAACAAAGCATGTGTGCTTTATTAAGTTTATGTCACTAGAAGGACTGCATGAATTTCACACAACATTCCGTCCAGTAGAATGGTAAACTTCTTCTTAGCGCACTTTGGGGAATTTAAAAAATGCTTTCAGGGCTTGAAACAAATTCCCGGCAGGTGACGGTTGAGATGTTTGGTCAAACATATTTATGCTCAACCACAACCCATTTTTGACTGAATATATGTATATTATGTCATATTTCTATAAAAGCACATGATGTTCAATCATCAAACTAAGTTCTTATTACAGAAAATGTCCCGTAAATTAAGGATTTGACTGGATAAGGCCTATTTTCAGTTTAATAGCTAAAAACGCTAAGGAACTAGTCCAAAATCTAAATAATACATTAGTATTTTAAGTTCTATCTTCAAAGGGTTCAAAACTTAGCTTGATTGTTGGGCAATAAAATGATGAAAATTTACTTGTCCAACTGTTCACTCTCCTAACCTCTAGACCACAGCAATTTTACCCTTCCCTGACTTGGTAATAAATAAATATTCTCATATTTATGACTGAGTGTATGTGAGCATAAAAAGCTTACTCTTTTCACAGCAGACAAAGGTTTACTGCTTGGTAGAACAACGTTCCTGAAGCAAGAAAAACAACCATAAACAATGTTTTTGTCCAGTCTGTGGAAAACATGCGCAAATTGTAATACACCTACGTCTTACTAGCAGACATTCTACACTGAACTCAAACGTTTAATGTTAAACTCAAATAAGTACCACTTTGTGTGCTTATAGACTGTACCTTCCAAGACAATCACACCCTTCTATGGAAAATTCCAAATTGCTTGAAAGAAAAGACGACTTCACTTCAACTTTTCTTTCCTCTATGCCACGCTTCAGTTCTGATAAGACAGTTGAGTAACTCTATAAAAGAAAGCAAACTTATCTAAACTTGGAATTAAATTATTATAAGTACCACAGTGTTAATAATATACCTTTTGCCTGTCAAATGTTTGTGAAAATGTCTTCACTCCCTTCTCAACAGCACTAATTGACAGAAGATAAAGATCCACTAACAACCTGAAAAGAAAAAACATGTATATACACATGGACAGATTTAGGGGTTGGTTGAATCGACTGCGGCCACTCCCCTTTTTTTCGGTGAAATTTTGCATAATTTTTGAAGAATTCTCAGTGAAAAGCATTTAAACAATCTTTGTAATAATCTAGAAGTGCTTTTTTGAACTCACTTTAGGATCTGTTTGTAATTACATTTATTTCGAAACCAGTGACCAACTTTTTTAAAACAACATCGCAAACCTTTGGAATCATGGTATTTGCCACTGGACCAACCATTTCTTCAAGAAGCTAAAAGGACTGCAAGTTTTATTAAATCAAATCAGCCAACTGAATGTGAATACAAAACTCTAAGACAAGTAAAACATTTCCGACTGATACCTGAGGTCTCTGCTGGGTTCAAATGATGGCTTCGCTGTGTGAACAACTGATAATGGAAGGAATCCATTCTCCAGAAAGTATGTTCTTGCACATGTTATTGTTCCTTTAGGCTCCATAGCAAAGCAAACCTATCAAACACACTGTATAGCTGTATAAAGTACTCTTCAAGTTTGTAAGATTTTCATTTAAGCTGCAATACCACAACCAACATATAAAGTCAAGGACATTTTCTTTTATCATAAGCACTTTTTTGCTCATTCCAAAACACACTTCATTGTAAAGTTGCAGCTGTTTGTCCTAAATATACCCCTGTAATCCTCTCTCACAGCTTGGTCCAAGACATGATAGTTTCCTTAAGCGGACATAGTCCGGATAGCTTTCCCAGAAACTCTTGAATTAGAAAGGAAAATTGGTATGAGTTGAGCACTGATGTTAAAATGTCAATTTGAGTGGCATGGCTTTTCTTTGTTCACACACAATCTTTTCTGAATGGAAATCAAAAAAGTAACAACACAGGACACTAAAACTGCCAGCTGATTTATGATACTGAGTGGATGTACAGTATACCATACCAAAAGCCAGTTGTACCTAATTAAATTTGGTTAAATGTAATTTAACTAAGTTAACCACCACGAGCTTAGCGGTCAAGCGGTTCACAAGCTTAGAAGTTTAGCGGCCCACAAGTTAAGCGGTCTAGCGGTCCACAAGCTTAGCGGGCAAGCGGTCTACAAGCTTAGCGGTCAAGCGGCCCACGAGCGTAGCGGGCATCCAGCGGTCAATCCCATAAGTGCAGGCTCACATGGTTTGCGGTAGCTTTGTACACGGCTAGGATCTGCGAGTTCTTCATCAAGCGTTTGTGCAGTGGTCTGTGGAGCGGTTCATTTAGCGTCTTCCCCCCCTCCCATCCCTATTTTTCTTCCTTCCACTGTTTGATCAGTGTGACGGGTGCCTGGAATGGGGGCTCATGGCTGGGTTGCGGGGATCTGCCAGCCATGGGGGCAGTTTTCCTATCTAGGGGCTGGCTGGCCACAGTGGAAGCCCCTGGGTATCCCAGGCACCCACCTTCCACTTAAGCGAGGCAGTTGGTTAAAGTGACTTACCTGCTTTTTTGATTAGTTGATTCAATATGAGTTTAAGCTGCCATTTACTGACCAGGACAGTGAAAGTTTTCACTACTTACCGAACTGAGATTGAATTGACCAAAAACAATAAACTTTAATGACCCTTGGGTAATCAGAAAAATTAACAGGACCTTTTCCTTTTCACTTTAAAAGTCATTGAAATAGTAAGTTTTCAAATAAACAAGGAACTTGTATACCACATAGTCAAAAGCCCCTGTAATGAACAAATTCAAATTCATACCATGTGCCTTGCAGCTCTGCCATCAACACCAATGTTTGCCATTGTAGTATTATTGTTCAAAAGGGACTGTTTGGCTGCACTTTTGATATTTTGCTTTGAAGAGTGTGTTCCCAGAAGCACGTATGGCTGACAGCCTTCTGATGAACTGAATACAAGAGTATCAACAACATTTAAAGTAATAAAATTAATATATTATATGCATACAGTAACTATTTTTTTAAGAATGCCCTCAAATAAACAATACTTTCTTAACACTAAATATGACATTAGTGCTACTTTCTTTTAACAAGAGTACTGCCTTCCCTCTAGGATATTTGCATCCAAGTCACATTTCACATTAAATTATTTACCAATACAAGGTTCTTACTTTGTATTATTGAGCAGGTAATCAAGCAGTGCATGCGTTGCATATTATATAATCCCGTTTAATGGCTACCATACTAGGACTTTTTACAGGAATGACATTTTACCTTGTTTCTGCGAAGGGGAGGGAAGGGAGGGATGGGAGGATGGTAACCCCTCCTCACCACTATAGAAACTGTTATACCTTCCATCCACTATCTAGCAGGTCATGTGCTTTTTGGTGGGCAAGTTCAGAATTCGCTATCCTGAGTTGCATTACGTATATTCAAAACACTTTTAATACGTATTTGTCATTGAATTATAATATTATTATACGATACCATGGTAAGAATTTTCACATCACTTAAGCTCCAAAGTAAGGGGGAATGGTTCCATAACATACATGCGTAATTTTTGTATAAGTTTGACTACATACCTTTTGATGGTTTCCCTATCTCCAATATGTCCATGAGCAAAGTAGCTCACAATGGGCTAAAAGAACAGCAATCTTTTCATTACCAACAAAAATCACTTTAGATATATACATTATGTATCCAGCCTACACATAAAAATTAAACTCAACCCACATTTACAATTTAAACTTGACAACTCATGATCAATGATCTTTTTTAAAACTATGACTACCATTATCCCACACATTCCTCTTTCTCATAAAAAAAATTGTTACACCAATCTACAACTGATGCGCGCACATGGGAACTGCTAGTGCCTAAATATTAAAGCACTATAGGCACAGCAATCTGAAGATGTCTTTGTACAAAACCCTGTTTGGTGTGATTTATGTGACTGTTCTTGTGGCTGCTGTTTAACGAGTAGCCTGCGAAAACATCCGTTTCTCCAACGTCCCCAGCGGCGAAGAGCGAGGAGAAACGGATGTTTTCGCAGGCTATTTAACGAGCCATATCGCTTTTAGTCTTTGTTGTGCTTTACAATAGAAGGAGTATATTTTGTTTCAGTAAACTGTAAGACAGAGTTTTGAAGTTTGTCTTCAGATTAACTGTCTGGTTACACAAAGACCCGAGCAGTTATAATTAAACTGGGACTCATGAGTTTCCACAAAATGAGCCCCAGGACTCACCACAACTATTATCTGTAACAAAATCACCGCAACTGTGTGAGCTGAAACAACCTTGCCAGAAGGCAGCCAGGTTATTTTTGGACTAATATAGGTTAATTTACTAGCTAGTACCAAATCTGCTGTAACAATTTTCTTAATGACAGAAAAGCTGGGGATCTGCAAAGATCAGTTCAATGACCTCAATGATCATGTATGCTTATGGCAGTGACTACTAACTACATTAGCTTAAGATAAACCTAACCTAAAGCAAACTAAACCACATTTACATCTCATTATCAGTGATTCCACTAACTTGTAGGAAAACAACAGTACAACAAACAGCATTATTTTAAGGTAGCAGTGAGCAAAGAAAGTCATGTCTGATAGCCCGGGACTAGTGGATTTTGCTATCGGGCTAGTGAATTTTTGGGGGCATTCAATTTACATAGAGTGTTTACTTTCCACTGGATTTGAAAAAATAATTTTAAGAGGTTTAAAAGTTACAAAGTTTGATATTCAATACCTCACTCAAACTCCTCTCTGTAACTTTAGACAGGTCACTAAACATAACAGTACAACACAAGAGTGAATATAAAGCATCATCTATGTAGTTCGGACAAGCCCCTGCTAGCAAAAGACCAAAGCATTGGTACACAACCATTACATGTATCTTAAAAATAAAACATTGATGATGTTGTTCTTGATAATAACGTGCTAAAAAAAGCCAGCATCTAATAATAGCATGGAAGCCCACAAGTGCTACTAGTGGCACTGAATTCCACTGAAACTGTTGAGCTACGGGGTTTACACCCCCTGCTGCTTGGATAAAGAATTCAAGGACTTTTCAAGGACTATATGCTGTGCAAATAAAAGCGAGGTTTTTTATCTCCTTGTATATTATTTTTTTTCTATTTTTGTGTCGCTAATACTTTGCCCATTAAGAATCTGGGTTGGATGAAGTGAGCAACCGATTTCAAGGCCTTTACTACAGCATCCACTGCAGTTTTTAAGGACTTTGAAGACCTTCAACCCTCATTTTTAAATTCAAGGACATTTCAAACCTCTCAAGGAATTTAGAAACCCTATAATTTCCAACAAGGTGGGAAATTTTAACCAAAAACTGTGAATTGACAGCTTACTCTGACCTTTCTGTATCCACATTTTTTAGAACAGAGTTGCAGTGACGCTCAAACAAGGGAAGTGTCTGGAAATAAGAAGGTTATAAACATCTTGAACTTAAAACTGACATAACTTTACTTTCTGTCACACCTGGCTGATTACAGTTACTCAAGCCACTAACTGAACTCCATTTAGATCAATGTTTTGTGAAATTTCAGCCCTATGAGTGAAAACACCTGCAAATATGTTAGACTCTTGAGTTTCACAGTGTTCATTGCAATGGTGGCTCCCCACCTACAGGTAGTTAAATTTAGAACACAAGAACTGCCAATTCCTTTAAAGAGAACTTCGCAAAAAGATAACTTTTAATAAAAGCAAATGTTATTTGAACAACCCTGCGAGCACATGGTTTCTCCAGGCCAGATGCTACACTACAAAGGGAGAGAAACCACTAAGAGCAACCGTTTGCTTTTCCATCGAGCATGCGTATCCATGTGATGCCAACGTCAAAGCGTCAAATGGCACCACTTCTTCTTGTTTCGCAGGAGGGACTTAAATATCCAATGACAAGACAGCAACAAGAATAACCTGAGATCAGGCCCAATTTTAGCGGTTCTCATACATTCTCTCTAACGGCTACCGCTAAATTTCACCTTGCCCGCCGGAATGTAATTTTCAAAGGGAAACAAAAATAGAGCCTGATCTCAGGTTACAACAAGAACGTCAACAAAACAAAAGGTATAATAAGCAAAACACCAACTTTGCATGTGCATCACCCTTTTTGTACATTTCTTTGCCATTTTTGAACCACTACAATGTGAGAATGCTTAATGTAGTGTTTTATGGACAACGTAAACAAGCAACAACAAAATTTCATTTCTCTTCCTGAACTTGGATATGGTCCCTAGGAATTCAACTCCAGTTGGGTTTGCCTACATTTGACAAAGTAAAGTGGGTAGGAATGAATAATCCCAATAAATACTGAATTGAAAGGGTGCAAATTCACAGCAGGCTTGTTGCAAAAGAGCCTTTAACCTGCTTTTCAACAGGTTTTACATGTTTAAAGTTAATTTATTTGTCCATGGCACTGGACGGCAGCTCAATCAAAGAAGCAGACTGTTGCTCACAGTGGTTTCTCTCTCTGTGTAGCATAGCATCTGCCCTGGAGAAACCACTGCTCCCCGGGTAGGTTTGAACCGAAGGGTCAATTCATTTTTCCTCAGAGTAAAGGTCAATGTTGTACAATGACTTGTGTATTTTGCATAATTGTTATAAATTTGTACCAGTATACTATAACAATCACATTTTTACCTCAATGATGATGGATTCTACTGTCAGAGGGTCCAGCAAACCATAGATTTTGTCCAACTCTGATGTAATATTGATAGCCTAAAGAAATTTTTAATTAAGTTTCAATTAGCTTTATGACATAATACATCAAAATGGCTAACAAAATGCCAAAAAGCAGGTCCCATAATCCAAACTGTATTTGCTACAAGCACATACATCTGTGTGTGATATTCTGTTTTATAGGAGTCATCCACTAGGTTAGCCTTTGCTATGGGATTACAATGCAATACTTTATTGACATCTGAGCCCCATTGCGGTTTTTCAGTGACAATAATTAACAGATAAAAGTTAAAAACTGTACTGTATATTGATAAACCTTAAAGGTTATAATTAATTTAAGCAATTAAAAACTGGCTAACATTGGCGACAGGATAACTCATTGTAACTCATCGTAAAAAGTCTTTCATAAGATGTTCTCTTAAATGGCGCTTAAAATTATTTAAACATTTGCTAAGCTTAATTTCAGATGGTAAATTATTCCATAACAATTCTGTACGAAAAGGACCTCTGCCCTGTTTTAGTTTTAAATAATAGAATATTCAATTTTTGAGAACTTCTAGTCACCTGCCCACTTACCTTACCTCTAAAAAATGCATTTTGTTACCCAAATATTCTGAGGCCACGCCCATCATACACTTAAATGCCAAAATGGCATCTCTGAAGTATAAATTGGTTTTTATTTAGGTTCTTAAGCACTAAAATTACATGTTCGTATTGCTTAGTGTTACTAACTTTATGGGCCGCAAAATTTTGAACACTTTGCAGCTTCGTAATATTCGTATCAGTAGTATTACACCACACCAAAGAACAGTAGTACAATTAACTAAAAACCAAAGCGTTTATGATTGTTATTTGTAAATCTTCCTTGAAAACATGTTTTACATGGCTTATCTGTCCTAATGGGATTATCCAAACTTGCTTCCTAATTTAGATGCAACTATTTTATTCCTGACTATTTTTTTATCAGATCATCTAGTATGTTAATGTCTAATCTGTATCACTTATTATAAAACTCAGAGAAATCAAACTAATCATCCTGTCTTGTCACAAGCTCTTAAAACTTTGCACCTTATGCATTAAAGTGAGGAAAAGTCAAGCCTATCCTTCTCTTACCTTATGCTTCATAGTAAAAAATCCACCACTAAGAGAAACAAAAGAAACAATCAAACTTATATGAATATTTGTAAAATAGTGATTCAAGGTATATATCATAATCACGAGGGCAACTGTATTGTGGTTCAACTTTTATCTTTTCTTTGTTCTTGTATGTGTCAATAACGAAAAGCACAGATAACTGATTAAGTTAATTAAGCTACAACTTGCAGACGTTGATACTATATAAAGAGATTAATATTTTTGTTGTTAATTACCATCCAAAATCTTCCAAGGCAAATGCTTGAATTAAAGGCCATTTTTCAAGAATAAATGGATCAAAAGGAGGCAGTTTATCACCAGGGCTTGCTTCTGCAAAGAAAAACATAATGCTATTACATAAAAAGAGCAATGCAACACAAAAATATATTAAATTATTGTATCACTACTGGGTTGATATAAAAGGTAGGTCTACTGGCCACCACCTTAACAGTGCTAAGAAGGAGCAGGTGTAACCTGTTCTGGGCTCTAGTTGCAACGGACAGTTAACTGCAGTTGTAACAGGTGAAAAGAAAAGTGAGTAAAGAAACTTATCATGCCTGCTTCTCTTTTTTCAGATTGATTGTCACAACTGAGAGCCTGCATATAATATATAGGCAAGCAAGGGTGTGACAAACTGCCTATTTAGAATGCGTCGAAAAACATCTATGTCACAAGACAAAATAAAATATGATTTTACTTATGACGACTTACTTATGACGAGTCTGCAACATTTTGACAACTCACTTCTTGTCTTCATTAAGTGATGAGGTTGACTGGTT